CCGGATGTCCTGTTTGGGGTGCTCGATGACACACAGGGTCAGGGCAAGGGGGCGAATGCCATTGTTCCCTGCCACCTGGATCTGGACTCGGTCGACACCGTACGTGCTGGCTGTGCGATGGTCAACCAGTACTGGCAGATCAGTCGTCATTTTGAGCAGATGGGGCTGGACAATCTGCGCACCAGCAGCGCCGAGGCCACCCGTCTCTGTGACTTCCGCAACGTCTTGGTGATGCGACCGACGGCTGGCCTCGACGAGCCGGGCAGTGCCAGAGTCTTCGAGTCATTGAGTTCCCGGTATCCACTGGTCCTGATATGCGGCCTGGATTGCGCAGGTGTGACGGCCCAGGTGCATTTTGACTCGACGGTCCTCTCTCCCGAGATGTTTGAGTCAGTCCTGCACGCACTCTCGCACACTCTGGCACAAGTCACGTCCAGCCTCGACATACCTTGGGCGGACATTCAAACCAGCAACCCTGAAGATCTCCAGAAAAGTCTCCATTGGAACAAGCAGAGCGGCACTGAAACCAGCCGCGACTGCGTTCATCATCGGATCGAACGTCATGCTACCGAACGGCCACTGGCTCCCGCGATCTGCGCGTGGGACGGAGACTTCTCATACGGCGAGCTTGACCAGAGCGCGTCTTACCTTGCCCATCAACTCTCCCATGCCGGGCTCACGTCAGAAGGCCTCGTCTTTATTCTGTCGGAAAAGTCCAAGTGGACCCCCGTCGCAATCCATGCCGTCCTCAAGGCAGGAGGGGCTTTCTCGTTGATGGATCCCTCGCAACCGACTCACCGGCTCGTCACGCTCTGCGACCTCGCATGTCCGCATCTCATCCTGACCTCCCAGCAGCAGTACGCCAAGGCCCGTCTTCTCGGACCCAAAGTGATGATTATCCAGGAGATGAGCGCCGAACCCCCCGTCAAGGACCAAGTGGTGCCGCGGTTGTGGGAACGGATTAGGGTTGAGAGCCATCACATGCTCCATGTGGGCTTCACCTCCGGGTCGACAGGCACCCCCAAGGGCGTCGTCACCGACCATGCCGGCTTTACCAGCGGGGAGTCCGTCTCAGGGCTTGACAGCTCGTCCCGCGTACTGCAGTCGACATCGTACACCTTCAGTGCTTGCATGTGGGAACACCTGGTGGCCTTGACCTACGGCGCCTGTCTGTGCATTCCGTCCGAGGACGAGCTACAGAATGACATCGAAGGGGCCATTCACCGTCTCGGCGTCACCTGGGCGATGATCACTCCGTCCGTGGCGCGGGTAGTCGAGCCCACTAAGGTGCCCAGCATTCAGACCATGTTCCTGGTGGGTGAAGCGATCGGCCGGCTAGAGGTTGGGAAGTGGGCGCATCAGGTCGCCCTTCACTCCATGTATGCGCAGTCCGAGTGCGGGAGCCCGATCATGACGAAGCGGATCTTCGAGCCCCGGGACCTGTCCACAGTGGGATCCCCTGGCGCGGCGATCGGGTGGATTGTCGACCCCCAGGACCACAATCGGTTGATGCCGCTGGGCGCCGAGGGGGAGCTGGTGCTTCATGGGCCGTGTCTGGCCCGGGGCTATCTCCACAACCCCGAGCAGATGCACGCTACCTTCATCACGTCCCCGGCCTGGACAGAACAAGTCGGATGGGCCTCGACCACGCGGTTCCTGAAGACGGGGGATCTCTTCTCGCGCAGCCCGGTGGACGGGTCTTACCAGTTCCGCGGCCGCAAGGGCGGCAAGGTCAAGGTTCGGGGCCAGAGGATCGAACTGGCCGAGATCGAGTACCACCTGCGCGCCCAATTCCCGGAGGCCGTCCATGTCGTGGCAGAGCTCGTGCGCCCCCGCGATGCGGTTTCGCAGTATGGCATGCTTGTGGCCGTCATCCCCGTTGCGTCTGCGCGGTCTGATGGCGGAGATGCTGCTGGCCAGTGCCGGCTCCTGCCCCCCGATGCAGCGTTCCTGGCTCACGCACGACGGGCTTTGGACCAGATGAGCGAGCGGCTGCCGTCTTACATGATCCCAAACTCCTTCATCCCGGTGGCCCGTCTGCCGCGCACTGCGTCCGGGAAGATGCACCGCCGACTCTTGGTCGAGGTCCTCTCCCAGCTCTCTCGAAAGGAGATCCTGGCGTACATGACAGTCTCCAAACCGTATCGCCCTCCGAGTACCGAGCGGGAAGCACTCTTACAGTCGGTTGTGGTCAAGACCCTGTCCCTCGCCCCGGAGGAAGTTGGGATGGACGAGTCATTCCTCAGCTTGGGTGGTGACTCGCTATCCGCGCGGCAGCTCGTCACCCTGGCGCGTGGCGAGGGACTCGGCCTCACGGTGATCGACTGTCTCCAGCAGCCCAGTCTAAGCTCCCTCGTCGAATGCGCGAAGCCCAGCCACCCAGAGCCTGTCGACCAGACCCCAGCAACCGCGGAGGACGACCCCTTCAGCTCACTGCGCTACGACTTTCTCAACAATCTGCCCACCCACCTCACCGCCGACATGATCGAAGACATTGCTCCGGTCCGCGAGACGCAGCTCTTTCTCGTGCAGTATCAGATCCTCGACTACCTCCAGATCCGGATGACCGGCCCGCTGGACCCCGTCCGACTGCGCCGGGCGTGCGAAGGGCTGGTGCAGAGCCACTCCATCCTGCGCACGATCTTCCTCCCCTTCCACACCGAGCACGTTCAGGTCGTCCTGCGAACGGTCGAGGCCCCCTGGCGTGCCGTGAGCCCGGCCAGCGCCGGCCAAGATGCCGACCTCTGGGCGCACGCCGTGTGCGCCGAGGACCGCAGCACCCCGACGCCTCTCAGCGGGCCCTTCCTCAAGTTCATTCTTCTGCCCGATGCCTGCCTGCAGCAACACACCCTGATCATCCGCATCAGCCACGCGCAGTTCGACGGGCTGTGCCTGGACACGCTCCTGGGCGACCTCGCCGAGCTCTACGGCGGGCAAACCCGCAGCCCGCTGACCATCCCGACCAGCTACGCCGACTTTGTGCGCAAATGCGCCACGCTGCGCACGCCGCGCGCCCTGCAATTCTGGCGAACCCTCCTCGCCGACTCGACCCCGACCGAACTCCCGCTCACCCCGTCCACCGCGGCCCCGCACCCGCCGGGAGAAACGTGCATCGTGGCCACGCAGGACATCCCCACGGCGCTGCCGCCGCCCGCCGGGACCACGTGGGCCACGGTCGTGAAAGCGGCGTGGTCGCAGGTCCTCCGCGAGCGCACGCGCCAGCCGGACGTCACCTTCTGCCAGATGGTCAACTGCCGGTTCGTGGACGTGGCGGCCCCCGAGCGCATCGTGGGCCCGTGCCTGAACCCGGTGCCCGTGCGCGTGCGCGCCCAGCCGGCCTGGACGGTGCGCGAGCTCCTGCGCGCCGTCCAGGACCAGCACGTCGCCTCGCTGGAGCACCAGACGCTCGAGTGGGGCGACCTCGTGGCCCACTGCACGGCGTGGCCGCGCGACACCGCGATCGACTCGATCGTGCTGCACGAGAATATCAACGCCAGCCCCGTCACCACGGTCAGCAACGACGCCGTCTGGCGGCTGAAGGCCCACAGCGTGGACAATCCGCCCGAGCGCACGATCTACCTCTACACGTATCCGCAGCCGGATTCGCTGTACGCGGTGCTGGTGCTGTCCAGTGCGGTGGGCAGTCAGGCCGAGGCGCAGCGCCTCGTGCAACGCTTCGCCGAGGTCGTAGGGTTGCTGGTGCATCGGCCGGGGGCGCTGCTCTCGGCCTTGTGAGGTTCGGGGTTAGGTGTTCGGATTGGTGTATGGCCCCTTGGGCCATTGTTTGTTTAGTTGAGGCCAACAGCTTTTGTTGCATTCACGATGGCAAATCCTCTCGTCTTCCCCCCCGGATCCGATATACATACTGGATAGACCCATTGGGAGTAGGCCCTTCTTTGCTTGGCAATATGTGATAAACTTCATTCCAGTTGCGTTACTCACATCTTTCAACCCCCTCACTTGGGAAGATGAAAATATAAAGTATGGAATATAAAATATAAATTATAAATTATAAAAGATTAGATATACCGGGAAAGGCACTACTCCTAAATGGGACTAGTTGTATTGACTAGTTGTATTGACTGGCTGTATTGACTATCGACTATTGACTATTGACGATTGACGATTGACTCTTGACTCTTGACTCTTGACTAATATTACTCCTCCAGCTCCTCCTCACAAGGCAACTCTTTCCGTCTTCCAGTCCAATCCAGTTCAGTGCACTGTCCTCCAACCCATTCACAGGACCCCAATGTCCCCCACCACCAGACGTAGAACTCGTCTAATCACCGGCTGGTAATTCCTCATCCTCGATTTCCTAACCCCTAACTCCTAACCCAAGGCGCAAACTTCATTTAGTCAGTCGATCAGCTAACCATTCGCATCGGCCAAACAGCCAACGATGCAGGGGTATGTTCATCTCCTAGGCTACTGGTTTCCCCTTCGAAGGTTGTTGACTATACTGAGCGCTGCGACATTCCCATTGCAGCCCGGCACCTGAAGTGTGAGTCCATACACGCCCAGGGAATCGCAGCTCTGATGCTTAACAATCCCCCAGGCGACACCAATCTACCCTCCTGTGCACACTGTCAACGCGCCGGCATCGGCTGCAACCGAGGCTGCAACGTCCGCTTTCGAAGAGGTCTACTTCTTCCCACGGACACGGCAACTGCTTTTCCCGGGCAGGATCTGTGGCCGTGCGTGGTGGGTCCTGGTAAAAGTTTCTCCTCCTGGGCACAGAAGATCTTGTTCTCACGATCATTGATAGTCGAGTTCCGGGATGAGACTGAGGCCATCCAGCAACTCTACGAGGTGGTTCCATCACCACAGCTCTTGGACGAGGATTGTCGGTTCGGGGGGTCGCGGGGTCATCCATCATCTAGTCCGTTCATAGACGATCCGAGCTCAAGCCATCCCGCTTGGCCGACGCACAGTGGCCACCGATCAGTCGGTGTGAGCGCCGGACGGAGCAGTCACGATAGTGGTCCGGTGGTCGCGAGAGCGCGGGGTCCAGTTCGCACCATTATCGGTCACCCAGGAGACCTGAGCACCGACAGTCCGCCAAGCAGCCAGCAGTCAAAGACGCATCATCCGTGCTTCAGCGCCAGGGAAGCGACCTTGATGCGTAACTTTATCGAGAACATGGCGTTATGGGTGAGTGCTACGAACTATGCAGGCTTTGTCTAGCAGATTGCTGATGCTCCGCGGCTCATGCACAGGCTGATATCACCGATCCCGACCGGCAGTTTGAGACCAATGTGCCGGTAAAGGCTGTCCAGGAGCCGGCTTTGCGCTCTGCAATCTTCGCCTTCTCCTCGCGGCACATTGACAGACAGCGCAAAGTGGATGCGTCCGAGGCTCTGCAGTACCATAACCACTGCCTACAACTTCTGATTCCGGCCCTGTCTGGCTCGAGAGCAGACATAACAGATGTCGTTCTTGCCACAGTTGCGGTTCTGCGACAGCATGAAGAAATGGAGCGTATGCTAAACAGACCAGTGACGTCTTGCTCTCGGGTGGTGCTGACAGTTTCCAGCTGACGACAATCAATTCCATCTGACCGGTACAGCGCGCATACTGAACACAATATCCTCATTCGGCTCGTCGGGAGGGTTGGGTGAGGCGGCGGCCTGGCTTTGTCTACGTGAAGATATATACATCGCGCTAATTTCGCAGAAGCCGCTGCGGACGAATCTCCAGAGCTTCCACAGGTCCAATGTCTGGGTGAGGGATGACGACTTTGCATGGGCAAGTCGGATGGTCTTTCTGCTGGCTAAAGTCCTAAGTTGCGCGTTCAGTCCCTGTGGTCATGAGTCCTCTCTGGATCTAAGCGGGCTGCAGAGACTGGCACAAGAAGTGGAAGCCTGGAACGATTCGAAGCCTACTTCTTTCGACGCGATACGCTCTGTACCACGGGGGGCAGATTTAGAGCAGCGATTTCCTGAGATATGGATGTTGCTGCCAGTCCACGGTGAGGGTCAAAGGACCGTATGCCTGCGATATCAGCTAACGCAGTCGACACTTTATAGTTGTTGGGGCACAGTACTACCATATCGCAAAGATCGTTCTGGCAGTCACCACTTGCCCTAGTCCCACGCTCGTTTCCCAAAATTTCCAAGTATCCAGACATATCGAGGTGGGTTGATTCTCGACAAGACCTAAGATCCGCCTTCATGGTTCCGTGCTCACGAGGCAAGAGCAGAAAGTAGTCAGACACCACCTCTTCATGGTCCTGGGTTTGGCCAAGTCTAACCCCAAAGCTGAAAATACGCTTTTCACCGCGCGTCATAGTCTTGTAGCATGTGAGTACTCCAGCAAACTGTTTAGGAGACCGTTAATGGGACCAATGACTTACCTTTACAGGGGGCTGGGTCATTCGGCGTAGAGAGGATCAAGAAGCTTCCGAGGCTCTTTTACGTGAAATGGAGACCAGGACTGGCTGGGATGTCACACGGACGATTCAGGCTTTACGGGAGCAATGGGCCGACGATGATTCTGACTGCTGACACCAGACTTAGATTTGCGGGCATGATACACCATTTGTTTCACCGAAGGAAGTCTGAGGTCAGAGCGTGCTTCCCCTGCTCGGGAAAAAGGCGGTCACGTCACGGGGATGGGGAATCTCAATATATGGAGATCAACATGGCAGATTCGGGATCGTTTCAACCCGATCAGAGGGTTCTTCCTACTCCCATTCGCTCCGAGCTTATGCAAAGTCAGGTTAGCTGCTGATTACGAGAGCCAGCCCGAAAGCTTATTGAGCCGCGGTGCCTACAGGAGGTTTTGCCATGACATCTCGCTGACTGGGGGAGCAAATGCTCCGTCAGGACCAGTATCCGCGACATTGGCCGAAATTCTCCTGCCGATAGCTCATATCATCGCCCCCGTGAGGAGAATTCGGGTCCATCTTGCGAATCCTTGGTTTTGATCTCCTGTGTGTTGATCAAGACAAGAGAATTGGCTCTTATGCAAGATGGCATTCCGTTTTGATTTCAGGGTCCTGTTCTAGCGGTGAACGGTCCCTTGACAGCAACCCCCGATGAAATCACCTTATAATAATAGAACAGAATGCGTTAACATCCTTGCAGGCTTTTGAAGCCTGTAATGAGTTGTAATGATCTGCAAGACGCAAAGGATCGATCGACGGCGTTGATCGACTCTGATAGGGTTGGAGCAAGCAGAGAATTGGACCCTGCTTTCCATCATCCATCTCAGGCTCACAAACCGGCTGGCCAGAGCAATGACGTCTCATCCACGTGGTACCATAAATGAGTGCACCTTTATACCTGAAACATTACCCTGCCAGGTCTCTCACACCTTCCACAGCATTTCGGATCGCGTCCGTCTTGACAACATTTATCTGCATTGACATTGTCAAGCAGCAGCCCGCAGTGGAAACAAAGCAAAGTCTTGTTCAAGATAAGACATCTCACTTGCTCAGCATAACAGCTGCTCACCGTGTTTCCTTGATTCAGCAACCGAGGTAAACTTACTTTCTTCGTCTTGCTCGTGAGACCAAGCCGGACTTCCTTGATTCTTTTGACGGCCCGATGCCGTTCTTCAGCACACAAAAACGACGACAACGACGACCCTTCATAACCCCATCGCTGCCTGATCACCAGGACAGCAAGCCTTCACGGACAGGCAGCCACTCGATCCGTGCACTTTTCACCGGCAAGAAGACCAGGCCTGCAGCCCATTCTAGTCCCACCACTCCACCGCTACCCAACGGCAGCGAAACCGGTATAGGACCGAACACCACCGCCCCTCAGAACACTCAGGGAACATTCTCAATCTCATTCCACCCCAAGACCCAAACCACACTCTGCTGGCAGAACATCGATCCCCCGCATGATCTACTGGTTTCTCTCGACGAGAAAGCCCTGGAACAGCAATTCCTGTTAAACCGACCCCGAGCCACCGAGATGATCGACACCAGCAGAACCACGTCCCCAAAGTACACGTCCCCGAAGGGAGTGGCCGCCTCCCTCCTCCCGGGCTACAACGACGTCAGCGGCTCCGTCATCGTCGACTGGGACGGGTATCCGCATTTCCTTTCCCCGCAGGAGGAAGTCGATCGCAAACTGCAGCTGGAGGCAGCGGTGCAGGAGCGGATGTTGGGGTTGCCCGGTGCCCACCAGCAGGAGGGTCATTATGCTCCGCCGAGGTATACGCCGGCGAGCTCGAAGTCCGGATCGCGGTCCTCGCATTCGAGTACGAGTAGTGGCGGGTCATCCGGTCGGAGATGATGGGGCTGGTTTCTCGGGGGGCTCGGGATAAGCAGGACAGCGACTCCAGGACGACTTCGACGTGCATTTCCACGGATTCGTGAGCGTGGATCCGTTGATGATGAGCGAGCGGGGATGGAAGGCACTTCTCGACTCGGTTTGCCGTGCCCTGGGAGCTGAGCCTCGAACGCAGATTTATGATTGATGAACTTACGACTGCGTGGGACGGGATATGCACGATGGATGGATGATAACGAATAAGTGATGCTGATACTGAGTATGGATTATGATGATGATGAAGACGGTGATGATGATGACAATGATAATGATAATGTTAGGCCGGATTGATGGCGAAACGGGAGGCTTTTGTTGATTTCCAATCCAATGCGATATGATATATACAGTACATCCTTTTTTTAATGCAACCTCTGAATGTAAAAAAAAAATCGAGTATCTATGCTATGCCACCAGCGACGAAAGCCTAGTTCCGGAAGAGTCTCAACCCACCCTCCTCACGATCGACATCACTATCCTCACCAGCAGCTGCATCCACATCTTCATCTTCATCCTCCTCCCGTAGCATACCGCTGGCCGTGTTGCCCAGCAACGAAGCGAAGAACTCCTCCCGGGCGTGGCGGGTCCACGCGCCGCGGTCCTCCGGCGCCATGAAGTTCTGCAGCTTCTCGTGGATCTCAAACTTCATCTTGCGGCCCTTGGAGGCGCGGGTGTCCACGTCGCGTTTGACCTTGTCCTTGCGCATCCCGGTGACCGGGTGCACGGCCGACAGCCGCGAGGGCAGCTGGAGGTGCAGGGTATCGAGGCCGTTGGTGATGGCGTCCGAGGAGGACATGCGCTGCTCGACCAGCTCGCGCAGCAGGGTCTGGTAGAAGACGGTGTCGTCGTAGAGGGGCTCCACGGGCTCGTCGGGCTGCTCCGCCGCCTCTTTGGTCGTGGTCGTCGACTTGGCGTCTTTGGTCGTCGTAGTAGTAGCAGTGCGGGCGCGCTTCACGGCACGGAGCCCGGCGGCCGTCTCGGTGGCGACCTGCGCGTCCAGCACGGTGGAGATCGTCTGCGAGGCGGTCGAGGCAGACAGCAGCTTGCCGCGCGCGTTGGCGGTGGTCGCGGCGGTCGCCCCGCGGACCTTCTGGGACCACTTGTCGAGCACCGCGCGCCGGTGCGCCAGCGACTCGGCCTCGAGGGCCGTCATGCGCTTCCACAGCGAAGCGGACGAGGTGGCCGGCGTGACGGGCGCCGGGCGCTTGCGCTTCTTGCTGTCATCACCCTCCTGCTGCTGCTTGTGGTGCGCGTCCGCCAGCGCGAGGCGGAGATCCTCGAGGGTGGACCACAGCGCCAGGGCAGCGGATTCGGCGGATTTGATGGCTTCGCCGTCCAGAGGTTCGGGGACTGCGTCGGCGTCGGGAGTACTCTTCTCGTCGGTGGTGGATGAGTGTTGCTGGGCGGCCGCGAGGGAGAGCTGGTTGATGGCGGTGAGGCCCTTCTGGAGCTTGATGCGGGTGTTGAGGAGGGCGTCGAAGGTGGCGCGCTGCTGCTTCACGGCTTTGCCCTTGGCGGCGTCGGCTTTGGCGGCCTGCGAGATGGTCGCGGCGATGGTCTTTTGGTCCGAGGCCATTAGTTTGCGCAGTTCCTCGCGGTCGTCGGTTTTGCCGGTGCGGCGGGGTTCGTCGTTAGAGGCGTCGGAATCGTCATCCTCATCCTCGTCCTCGTCGTCCTCATCGGATGGGAAATCATCCTCCCCTTCGTCATCGTCATCCTCGTCCTCAAAACCGTCCATCTCATCCGACCCATCGGTATCCATGTCGTCGAAGCTGGCCTCCTTCTTGGCCTTCTTCCCGGCACCCTTGGCCGGTCGGGCAGTCTCCTCCTCGCTTTCTTCGTCGTCGGAGATATCCTCATCGTCCTCGTCCTCGTCGCTGCCTAGCTCCTCATCGTCATCCTCCTCGTCTTCCTCATCGCTGGACCGGGCCGCGAACGGGTCGTCCTCGCTCTCGGCTTCGAGCGCCTGTCTGCTAACTTTCGAGCCGGCGTACTGCTTCCCTAAGGCGACCGGATCCTGTTTGCGAAGCTTTCCCTTGCTGAGATAAGTCAGCGTCACCCTCGTACAATCCAGCCATCACAACAGACGACTATCCAAGATAATCCAGGGTCAACACTCCGGGGAGAAAAGAACCTACCCAACAGCCTGATAATGCTCTCGTCCCGCATCAGCATCCACGGCCTTTCCTCCCTCCTCATCACTCGATTGAACACCGCGATCGAGATCCTCGGGGTCGAAATCTGCAATTGGGCGCAAAGACAAGTCAGTCAGACCCAGGGACAGAAAACTCAACCCCAGAAAAAGCAAGGGAAATAAAAACAAACCTCTAGGAGTAGGATCCTCCAGCTCAGCGAGCTGTTGCGCCAGCGACTTGGGAGCCATAACGTACAGGGACAGGGTACAGCAAAACAACGGCCAAAAAGGTTCGTAGTGGCTTGCTGTTTCCGCGCCAACTTTTTTTTTTTTTTCTGGGAGGAAGTTCTGCCCGCAAAATTTCGGGATGCGGTCACGGGAGAACTAACTCCTTCAAGCCGGAAAGCAGCTATGGAAGGCAGGTTTGACCGGCGGTGAAGGACCGAAAATCGGGCAGTATCCTTGATCTTCCGTCTTGCGTCAAGAATGTTGGATTCTCACCGCCGACCACCCACCCCATTTCGCATCGCTAGACTTCCACAGGCATCATGTTGGGGAAGAGGTTCTTCTCGACCGTTCGGGTGCTGCAGCATGATAACCCTTTGGTATAGTTTTTCTTTCCATTATCTCTCGGGATAGGGTTCGGTTCTTGTCTAACGTAGTGGTGGAAAATGGTAGGGCCTCCCACGCTCGGGCACTCCGCCCTCCCTCCGCAGCCGCCGCGGGCTGCCCGAGAAGCGCAAGATCCGGGACGTGAAGAAGGTGATTGCCATTTCGTCCGCGAAGGGGGGTGTAGGGAAGTCTACGATCGCCGGTACCTCTTCCTCCATACGATACAACAACACAGATGACGAGACACAAGAAACTGATGTGAGATGGAACAACAAGTGAACCTCGCGCTGGCGTTCGCGCGGCGCGGCATCCGCACGGGAATCCTGGATACCGATATCTTCGGGCCTTCGATCCCGACGCTGTTGAATCTGAGCGGGGAGCCCAGGCTGGATGAGAGTGTGTCTCCCTTCTCCTCCTTTCAATAAAAACGGCCAAGATCCCTAAATCCAACCCCACTAACCGCAACCGCTATACAAAAATAGACAACTGCCTCCTCCCGCTGACAAACTACGGCCTCAAATCCATGTCGATGGGCTACCTCCTCCCGCAAACGCAACAGCAACAGACCCCTTCGTCGACAGCAGACCCCGTCCCCATGGACAGCACCCCGATCTCCTGGCGGGGCCTGATGGTTACGAAGGCGATGCACCAGCTGCTGCACAGCGTCGCGTGGGGCCCGCTGGACGTGCTCTTCCTGGACCTGCCGCCGGGCACGGGCGACGTGCAGCTGACCATCAACCAGGAGGTTGTGCTGGACGGGGCGGTGGTCGTGACGACGCCGCAGGACATCGCGCTGCGCGACGCCGTCCGCGGCATCGGCATGTTCCAGCGCATGGACGTGCCCGTGCTGGGCATGGTGCGCAACATGGCCTTCTTCCGCTGCCCGAGCTGCGGCACCAGCACCGAGATCTTCGGCCACGGCCACGACCACCTGCGCGGCCGCGAGGACGACTGGGGGGTGCGGGCCGAGTGCCGCCGGCTCGGCGTCGAGTTCCTCGGCGACGTGCCCCTCGACGGGACCGTGTGCAAGGATGCCGATCGCGGGGTGCCGACCGTCGTCGCGGAGGAGGGGAACCCCGACAGTGGGCGGCGGGCGGCGTTCTTGGGGATCGCGGAGGAGGTGGCGCGGAAGGTGGGAGTGCAGTGGTGAGGATTTTACTGTTTTTTGGGGAAAGGTAAGGGGAAAGGAGGGAAAAGGGGGGTTGTGTATTATATGGTCTCCTTTTGGTTCAAGTGTGTACATATACCCTGGCAATTGAGTATGATTCTTCGAATCGTTTGAGTTGATTGGTATTAATGCTGGATATAGATGGACTTTGCTGCGTCTTGAACAAAAAACCAAAACTAAAGTGCAACTATGTAAAGCTGGGTATAACAACCAACAGACCTCCCAAGGAACCAAAGAAAATGAACACTGGTCATGCCTATATACATCTTGTGAAGGGGAGACATCACCTGTACAATACAATGACATCAACCCTCAGTGCGCAACGTACTCCTCCGCCGTCTTGAAATACTCTCGGTCAGGCAAGCCAGGCCGCGGCGTCGACTCTGCCTCGTGACCATCAGGACCCAGGCCCGGGGTACCGACCTCACCATCCCCAAGCTCACTTGGCAGAGCCTCGAACGAGCGATACGCAGATTCGTTATCGCTAGCCATGCCCAGCACTCCCTTGGCATTGAGCACAGCACGGGTACTCGCTGCATCGAGTCCGTTCGTCGTGGTCACGGCCAGAGACTTCTCGTCGCCGATTGTGCTCGTATCCTCCGGCGGCTCGGTCGTGAGCCCACTGCGGATGGTGCCCGACCCGGCATTGGACGAGGCCCGGTGTCGCAGTCGTGAAGCCCAGTGAGAGTCGCCTGTGTTCGGAATAGCGCCCGCTTCATGGAAGAGCGCGCGGGTGCTGGCGTTCTCTTCTTCGAAGTTCTTTCCCTCATACCCCGGCAGGACGAGCATGGGAGTGAAGCTCTCAAGCGACGGGGCTTTGGTGTGTGAGTTCGCTGATTGATCGCGCGTATCATCATCTACCTCGGATGGGACCTTTGTTCCCGACGAGCCACCCCCATTGCTCAAGCCATTCGACTGGGGTTTGTTGGAGAAGTCCTGCACGGAGGCGCCAGTCACGGCGACGGCGCGCTGGGTGGCGAACGCGTTCTCGTCCGTCTGTTGCGCAGCCTCTGCCTTCATCGACGCTCCCGCTTGGCCGGCATCGACGCTCGTCCGTGTGGACCGGTCGCCCTTCAACTGTTCTTTGACGACGGTGCGCTCGTCATGCTTGCTGGCCATCTTACTCCACATAGTCATTGGGTAGCTCTTGCCGCCAGTCCTGGATGGCAACACGCGCGGGACGGTGCGCCGGGCAGCAAGGGAGCTCGGCGGTGGCAGCTCGCCTTGGAAATTCTGGAGTCCATACGCCAGCTCCTTCATGCGCTGTCGTTGAACACGGAGCTTCTCCTTGGCGAATCTGGTATCCCATTCCTTCTTCGCAGACAGCCACTTGCGCACGAGCACAGGGTTGAATACTCCCACTTTGGACGGGGGGATTTGGAGCACGGAGCACGCCGATGGGGGATCCAAAGGGTATACGTTGCCCTTCTTATCCACTCGCTGCCGGATCATGCGGTCCTTGAACGCGGGTAAGGGGTCCCCGGCCTTGCCAATGCAGTCGACAGGGGTGTGAGAATTTTCCGATTCTCTCTTGGATGGGTCCTCGCTGCTATCAGTGTCGCTGGATACACCGTGGTCGTCAACAATCTCGACCTCGGTGTCTTGCGCGCATGCAAGAGCCCAGGCGCCAAATTGCGCAATCGCCCGATACATGTATTTTGCCGGATGGGTGAAGCTGAGAGTCGGCGCCACATGACATAGGTCGTCCCAGACCTGGAGTTGAACGTAGGTTCCCTGATACTTGTGAAGGGTTTCCCTGTTGGGGTCATGCTCGTCGAGAAAAGCATCGCCAGGCGGGTACGCGGCCGGGTTGGCCGCCTTGTGGGCCACGTAGAATTGCTCATCCCTCAGCATCTCGCCGCCTCCACTCTGAATCAGCAGTGGAGGCAGTCCTCCGAGAGAAGGCTGGAAGATAGGGGACACGAGTGGGTGGGTCAGAAAGTCGTTGGTCGCATACATGTGAATCTGGTCCTTGATCTCGACCGTTTCTCCGTCAATCGGGATACTGATCTTCTCATTATGAATCTCGGTGGACTGGCGATCCGAGTTCGTGCGCTCGGCTTCGGAAGAGCTGCTCTTGTGCATCGAGTAGCCCCTTTCCGCCGTCTCTTCGTCCCGACTACTTTGCTCGGGGACAGCATGGCTGGGCTTAGCCGGGTTCACCTTGAGTGCTTTCTTTAGAGAAGCAAGCTCATCTGCGTTAGGGGGCGGCCACGCCGGAGACGGCTTGTGCATGAAGCCGTACGGAGGAATATAGTCTCCGGGGTTGTCTTTGACGATGCTAGGGAATGAATGGGTCAAGTCCACCCAGGGTGAAATCAAGATAGCCCCCGCCGGCAGAGGAAGCCCTTGGTCGCGTAGGAGAACCAGCATACTTCGGCCGTTAGCTGCAGCTTGCAGGATTGACCGGACCTCAGACTTACGAGAGAACCAGACCTCCTCCGGCAGAGTCACCGGCGAAGAGGATTTCCTCGGGCTTATGCTCTTTTAACAAGAACAGGTAGGCTGCCAGTGAATCCTGCATTCCACAAGGAAAGGGGAATTGCGGCGCCAGGCGATATTTAGCTAGACAGGGAATCAGCTTGATTCGGGGGTGGACACTGGGACCTATCATTAGGTCGAAGACTCACTTGAACACGGTCAGTAAGAGATGCTTCGATTCAAGGATGACATAAAAGGCTTACCGTGCAAAGACCCTCCCCTTCAACTTCCGCGCATGGCGCTGCATCTGATACCGATGTGTATCCAAGCTGCCAAAAAAGTACGCCCCGCCATGGATGTACAGCATGATGCGCTTCTGGCTGGGGTGGTCGCGATCTGTGCGCTTCCGCTCGTTGTAGTCCTCCTTCATCTCGATCCATTCCGCCTTCAAGTCCTCCGCGGGGCCGCGCCACTGCCACCACTCTTTGCCGCCGACGCGGGCGACGCCCTTCGGGCCGAGCTGCTTGTTGATCGCATCAGCTGCGCCGAGTAGACAGTCCTCCGGCACGGTCACGGTTTCGAGCTTCACCCAATGCGGCGCGGGCACCCGCTGGCAGGTGAAGGTTTGGAGGTCTTCTAGACTATGCTTGGAGGCGTAGATGAGGAACTCGCGTAAAATGCGGATGCTTTCATCGTAGGAGATGTGGACGTTTGGTTTGTGGTGGAGAGATTTGCGGTGGAGGTACTGATGGCAGGAGAAACGGGTGTCAGTTGGTCAGTTTGGGGAGGGAAGGAATCGACGAAAGGTGAAACGCGATGGAGCCATTGTTGGCAGCGGATGGGAAGGATGAATGACCCACATGAGAGATCAGGGTCTGGAGGACGGTCGGAGTGAGGGCCAGACTCAATGCGAAGGTATTCAGGGGCATGGTTCTGATGCGCTAGATGAGGGAGGAACAAGCCTCACAGAAGGTCATGAAGCCTTGAAGAACTGAGAGGAAGTGGGCGAGGTATAAAAGGGCAGGGTCGGATGGAGGAAGACCTCAGGAGGAGAGGGGGTGGCAGCGCAAATAAACCAAAGGGAGGGAGGGATAGGAAGCAGCGGAAACACAGAGAGACGAACACGGAGTGGGCCAGGAACCGATCGATATAATCTTAATGGATCAGTCGACCAATGTCTGGGAGGAGAGACAAGGGCTGGACCCTTTTGGGAGTAAATGAATGGCTGTGCTGCGAGGAACAACAACGCAGTGCATCATCATCATCATAATCATCACTGATCCATTGATAGTCTGGTGGTGCATCCCCTTTGATTGATGGATTCCTCAGGCCCAGCCGAGGTCGGACTCAATGATGTCATCACCGACCAACGTCCCACTAGTCCCTTTGCGGAAGCTGCGTTGGCTCGGGCGCTCGATGGCAGTCATTGAAACGCTCGTTCAGGCAAGAGTCGGTCGCATGGAAACAGTCCGGCATCATGGATGTGTAGTATCCAAAGTTGCTGGAGGCAATTTGCGACCGAGGGTGGTCTGTTCGTTGGAGAGGTGCAGAGGTGCAGAGGGAAAGAGGAAAGATGATCTGTATGACGCCGACACGAGTGGTGCGCTCCAGTAGCTTCTCCATTGGCCCACTTTTGCAGCCAAGCTTCTGATAAGGACCCCATTGCTGCGTCGGACGAATAGCTTGAGGCTTAGCCGGTGACCGCTATAGCTTCAGCTGGGCTCCAGCTGGGTCTCGACTGCTGGGACTGCTGGGTGGCTTGAGGCTGGGTTCTGTGTTGTCATACTTCGAGGGTCTGACAGCAGGAGGTTGTTGGACAGACAAGTATTAGCAAACAGCTGGACTCAAATCACCCTCACCGCCAGCCGATTTCGCTCAATCGCTAGAATCACCTGACCTTTTTTTTTGAGCAGTGCCAGTGTCTGTGACCAGATGTCAGCTTCATATTACAAGCATGAAACAGCTTCAATTGTGCGGGAAAATGTATTTACAGAGAGATCCATGCCAGTACAAACATCCCAGTCTAGAACAGCCGCCATGACGTCTCCATTAGCGGAATCTCCTCTTAGCATGCTATCTTATCGCGACTCCGACCAGAAAATCCACCACCACCAAAAACATTCCTCTTCCAACCACTCTCTCTGCCACTTTCACGTCAACCTCCACTTTAATCCACACCATCAGCAGACACCCGTTCTACAAGCCTGTACACGAACCACCCACCCAAGATGACGACGACAACAACAGCAACGAGCCCCTACCCAACCACAATGAGAGCCTGGCTCTACAGCCACACCAACCCGACCCTCGAAGCCAACCTCACCCTGGAGCCCTGCGCCCGCGCGCCTCCCGGGCCTCTCAAGCCGTCGCAAGTCCTCATCCGCGTGCTGACCGCCGCCCTGAATCCCGCCGACTACAAAGTCCCCGCGATGCCGATCATCACGACGGCCCTGATCCGCAAACCCGCCAGCCCGGGCCTCGACTTCGCCGGGGAAGTCGTCGCCACCGCTGACAACCACAACAATAGCACATCGTCGTTCAGACCCGGCCAAATCGTCTACGGCACCCTCGACCTGCCCACCCAATTCGGCTCGCTGGCCGAATACCTCATCGCCCGAGAAGAGAACCTCCACCCGATCCCCGCGGGGGTCGAGGTCGACCACGCCGCGACCGTCGGCGTGGCGGGCATGACGGCGTGGCAGTCGATCGCGCCGTTCATCGCCCCGGACACCGGGGCCAACGTCTTCATCAACGCCGGGTCCGGCGGGTGCGGGATCTACGCCATCCAGATCGCCAAGGCGCTGGGGTGCACCGTGACGACGACGTGTTCGACCAAGAACGTGCCGTTCTGCCGGGAGCTGGGCGCGGACGAGGTGCTGGACTACACCGCGGAGGATGTGGTGGCCGTGCTCAAAGCCAAGGGCCCCGTGTTCGACCACATCGTCGATCACATCGGCCTCCCCGCCGAGATGTACAACGAGTGCCATGCCTTCCTCAAGCCGGGCAAGGTGTTCGCCCAGGTCGGCGCGACCCGGTTCCCGACCTTCGCGACGCGGCTGCTGCGCCCCGGCTTCTTGGGCGGCGGGAAGCGGAGGTACCTGCCGATCTTCTGGAAGCCCAGGAAGGCGGATCTGGTCACGGTGGGGGAGCTGATCCGGGATGGGAAGGTGAAGGTTGTGCTGGATAGTGTCTACGAGTTTGAGGAGGCGCCCAAGGCTTTCGAGAAGTTGCGCTCGGAGCGGGCGCGCGGGAAGGTGGTGGTGCATGTATCGAGTCGAGACTAGGAAATGAGATGGGATGGATGAATGCTTGAGAGGTACAGATTCGCCATGCAACGCTTTCGTGTTCTCTATGTACAGTTACGTTGATTATGATACCACGAGGGGTTCGACTCGAGCAGTCACGCCCCTCACAAATAAACAACCCCAAAAAACCCGATCATTTTTTCGGTTGCAAGAAGGTCATCGCCGCCACGGCCATGGCATCCACTGCCGTCTGCAGCGTAGGTTCAATAACCGGAGCGAAAAACGGCGAGTGGTTACTCGGCAGCTCGCGCACGACATCCCTCTTGACGGCATCGTCCCAGGTGTCGGCATCCACGCCGCCAAACGTCCACATCACATACGGCGCGCCCACAGCCGTGGCCAGCAGCGAGAAATCCTCACTCGCGGCCGCGGGCTCCGACTCGACGAGCCCGTCCTGGAAATAATCCCCAAAGGCACCCTTGAGCGTCTCGACCAGCTGCCCATCATTGATCGTCGCCGGGGTGGAATACGTGAGCTTCACCAGGGGTTTCTCCACGCAGCCGGCGGCCTCGCACTCGGCCTCGACGATCCGCCGGATCGACTCGACCACGCGCTTCCGGATGCCCGCATCATACGTGCGGACATTCAGTTTGAGGTCACAGTAATCCGGGATGATGTTGTGGGCGTGGCCGGCCTGGATACTGCCGCAGGTGACGACGGCCATCTCGCCGGGGGTGACCTCGCGGCTGACGATGCTCTGCAGCTTGGTGACGACGGCGGCGCCGGCGACGATGGGGTCGATGCAGGTATGGGGCGCGGAGCCGTGGCCGCCGCGGCCGTGGATGCGGACGTCGAAGGCGTCGGCGGCGGTGAGGAAGCGGCCGGCGCGGACGCTGACGGTGCCGGTGCGCATGCGCATGACGTGCTGGGCCAGCACGACCTCCGGGGCGGGGATCCGGTCGTACAGCCCGTCGTCGAGCATGGCGCGCGCCCCGTCCAGCTGCTCCTCGGCCGGCTGGAAGATGCACACCAGCGTGCCCGCCCAGTGGGCGCGGGCGGCGTGCAGGAGCGCCGCGCTGGCCATCAGGCTGGCTACGTGCGTGTCGTGCCCGCACGCGTGCATCACGGGCCGCGTCACCCCCTCCGCGTCCGTCGTCTTCTTCGTGCTGGCGTACGCCAGCCCCGTCTTCTCCTCCACGGGGAGCGCGTCCATGTCGGCCCGCACCAGCACCGTGGGGCCCGCCCCGTTGCGCAGCACCCCCGCCACCCCGTGCCCGCCGAGGTTCGTGTGCACCTCAAACCCCAGGCTCCGGAGGTGCTCCGCGGCCGTCGCGGCGGTTTCCTGCTCCTGGCCCGAGAGTTCGGGGTTCTGGTGGAGGTGGCGGTAGATCTCCTCGAAGGGCTTGAGGTCCGGGCGGTATTTCGCGATGATGTCCTTCATGGTGGATGGTGCTGATGCTGTTGCGAGGAGGGGTGTTAGAGGTGATGACAATGGTGGAGTGCAACGGATGAAAGGCGGGGAAACGGTGCAGTGGGTATGGTAGTATGTGGTGGGGGCTCACCTAGAATCTGCATTGTTGGCTGTTGCCGGGGGGGGTGGGAGGTAATCAATGCTACTTATAAGGAGGGATTGGCTAGGGTGCAGCTGAGACAGCGAGTTGAACATGACAACATGAACATTCCAGGTGAGATTCGGATTGTCGAGGATCGGCAGTGCATGCGAACCAGCGTTCAGGACGATTGCCGAGTAGAAGCAAGCGGAGAAATGTTCGATAAGCCAGGCTGCTTACTCCCAACTCGTCGTCATGGCCGATAAGCTCCAGTGGTTCGGCGGACGGCGGAGCTGGCCGCGAAACCCTGCCATTTCCAGCAACTCGGCAGTTTGGGGTCGATTGACTTCAGTGCTCGGCTATCTGCTTCTTGGCTGAGGGGGAACAAAGTACAGGCAAATAAGAACAGGGGAGGAGAAGTGCTCGCTCTGTTTAATTTTTATCACAAAAATAAGATTGTTGGGGTGGAGGGAAACGAGTATGGCAAGCTAGATCCTATACCGAGACAGGAGGCTGGGTGGGAAAAAAAAGGAAATGCAACTGCTCACACTCGGACTCGAACCGAGGATCTCAGCATTACTAGTGCTGCGCTTTACCATCTAAGCCATGCGAGCTGATTGGTCAAGAAGAGTGTCAATTGCATACATGAACCTTTTAACACATAACCGGGTTGCACCGCAGCTGCTGTCGTCCGTCTACCCCGCACAAGTGTTGCAACAAGACTGGAGTTGATTCTCAGCCGCATCAAGTTTATGGTTGTGTTGCAGTCAAGCATCTGTCCCCGGCCTGAAAGGGAATATGCTGAAATGTTCTAGGTGGACAGAGAATGGAACCATTCATTACAATCATTCCGAGCCTTGAGGATGCAACAAGGGGCGGGCCTTTGGGGGCAATGAAACGCTAACTGTTGTCCTCTTCGGATATCCATAAACATTGTGCTCCCCGTATTTGTCTGTTCTAGATTGCTGACCGTCCAAGTTGAACATTTGCATGTTGATATTCTTGCAACATGCTGGTAACATAGCATCGGAGATTCAGAGGGAGTTGTCATAAGTCTAAAATCTAGAAATAATGTCTGTCGTGCGACCCACGGTCTACAATACCCCTTGTCCGGCCGGAAGTACAGTACATCAATTCACCGCTTCAGACAAGACCCCGAAACCATTCACAGCATGACACACCAGAGTGAGTAGATAGTCTCTATAGTGATATCTCCTTCAGAGTCGAAGCTAGCGCAACTAGTACCAATAGTAAATGCCCACACAGTGAATGATGCTGCTCAAGTAACTCGCCAATAAGTGAATATACCTCCTCAAGGCGCAGAAAGTGATTTGAGATACCATGTTTTTATGGTTAGGATCCCCACCCTCTAGACCTCACCCTCACCTCATCCACAAACTGACCGGTTCATCCTTCTGCCAACTCACAAATCTCCGCCTCTAAACAAGCTCTTCTACCACACAAACCCCTCCACCACCGACGAAATAAACCTCAATCCACAGCCCACAGCAGAAATGAACCTCCGCAGCCTCGCCCTCTTCCCCCTCCTCGCTGCCCTCGTCCACGCAGCCGTCATGAACCCCGTCGACGACCTCGCTGACCAGGCCCTGGATCCCGGAATCAACTACTGTAACCGGAACTGCGTCAACAACGACCGCTGCCGCGGCAGATGCGGCGTGTGTGTGAACCACAAATGCAAGGCCAAGGAGTAGTACGTCATTCGTCGTTGTGCAGATTAGAGCTCACGATGCTATATGTACTGACAATCGACCGTTCATGTGCAGAACCGCAGTTAAATTATCCTCCATGGTTTTCACCCCGTGTCTTTGCTGGGTATCGAAGCCTCTGCCCCAGAGGGAGGCATGATCAAAGGGATTATCGAGATGACCAGGTGCATGGTGTTCTGGCGTTGAGCCTTGGGAATGAGAGGGGATGTGTTACAACTCGCTTTTCACACCGGGGATAACTTATACGATGGGTTGTTTCCTTTGTTTTCGGGGATATGGAATTCGAGATGGGTTGTTTTGTACTGAACCGGGATATTCTGATCTTGCTGGGGCGGGTGTCGACTTCCGGCATTGTATGCTGGTCCTTCGTGGTTACTGGATGCATGTTACAGGGTTCCGACGGCCTGGGCCGCTGGATCTTGATTTCTGGATCGGACACAAGATAATCTATCCGTCTATTTGTCCACAAATGACATTTCCAATTCGCTGGATGAGAGTAGGCGGCATGTCCAGCCGATTATAAAAAAGCCCGTAAGACCGGGCCGACAGGTTACGTGCAGTCGGACACGATATCCGTCACCACTAAGGCTTGGGATCAGGGGGCTAGGACCTGTCGCTGGCCGGCGGGCGTGCAGCGGAGCTAAAGCAGGTACAGTGGCGGGGGAGAAAAGGCGCAATCTTGGGCCGCCATGTACAGGAGTAAAGTAGTATGAATTGCTTCATTACACCAAATGGTACTCAACATATGAGGTGGGCATACCACAGGCTGTATTTAGTGATTGGCCTTTTCGTCTACTACTCTGACTACACTTGGGAGCGGCCATTCGCTTGATTGCAAGAAGTGGATCCCGGGTGGAGCTTCCGCGCCGTCCGCGAACCACACAAGATAGAAAAAAATCTACGCGCAAATTGCGCAGTACAATGGCAATGTGCGACAGGCAAAAAGCAAAAGAGAAAGCCCAACGCGGGGGTTGAACCCGCAACCTTGAGATTAAGAGTCTCACGCTCTGCCGATTGAGCTAGCCGGGCTGTTGTTGTTGAAGGCTGCGTTTGCGTACAAACCATGTGTGCAACAAGCTTGACCTGCCGCCTCCTGTGTCAACTCTTCAGCTCGCAGGGAACACGATTGGTAATGACGTTCCAGTTGTGAGGTGAGAGAAATCCTGGAGCCTGGATCCCTGGCATAAGGCAGACTCTGTTGCAAGTCGCGACCAGGCAGCTGAGTGAGCAGTATGAGTGTTGTTTGTGCTGGTGTTTCCAACTGCTGATATATATTCCCACGACGGGGATTGGTAGGTGAACCGATGATCGGGTGTGCGCTTCTGGTTCAGGGATCACCCGGGGTCGCAAAGTGGGAAAAGAAAAGACGAGATCGCCATCTCCCCGTGGCGACTACAGGAGTCACCGCACAGCCCGACCTGCCATCTACCAGTCTGCCTCGGGGCAGTCAGTTCAGCATGGGCACGCGCCCATGCGATCATCGGATCGTTCGCATGCGGCGGCTTCTTGCAAAGGAAACCCCAAGGCAGCATCCGACAAAGCAACCTGGGTCGACAGGTTACCTGTGAACAGGATTAGTAATGCTTGTAGACGGGTCACTCCTGTATTATCGCGGATGTGCGAGGGTGCGAGTGAGGGCTGCGCAAGTTGATGACGACTTTGAGTCTCAGACAAGAAAAGCAGTCCAGGTGGCGAGCCATTTCCAAATAACACCCAAGGCCACCGCGATAGGATACGAGACACACCCAAGGGTCATGCCGCGCGGTACTTGAAACCAGGTTCCCTGCCACTACTCCTCGTAGTCCACTATCCACATCGAAGGCAGGAAGCATCTCACAGATAGGTAAAACGTGCAGGTTGCATAAATCTCGCGATCCAAAACTCGTGGTAGCAGGGATTACACCCAAGCTCAATGGCATGTAGAGCCATATGGATGGGATTGGATGGGTAAGAAAAAAAGGGGGAGAAGAGAAACCATGACCAGTCGTCGTTGTCGCTTTGACGGAGGCTGAGTTCAGGAAGGAGTTTCTGGACCCTGTGCGAAGAAGAAAGACATGATCGGGACTAGTGTAAGGGGAACAGAAAGGTTGGAGGGGGGGGGAGGGGGGAGGATGATGGGGCTGAGACGGTTGACCCCCCTTAGCACATGGAAGTGCGGACGATCGACAGGTCGCTCGTATAGCGGAGGGTTGGCAGTCCGGATCCCCCATCTTCAATCTTCACCCACCCAGTGCTGTACTTGCGAACGTTTATGGTAGATATTCTTAGAATGCTAGAATTCAGCACGAGAGATCGATAGGGTATGCGATGATGGTAGACAGACCCGACAGTTTGGAACGGATGGATTCTATTGTTTTGAATACCGCTCCGCGATGTTGACAGCGGCTGCGTAGCAAATGAGCGCGGGGACGGGTGTGGTTGAGCCATGAAGCGGGGAGAGCTGCTCGCCGGGCATAGACAGACAGGGGACCTCGCAAACCATGGAGGGTCAAGCCACAGTCCGTTGTAGTTCTTTCTGGTGGAATTATGGCGTCATCAGAAAACAAGAGAGATTCTGAGCAACAAAAGGCTTCGTGTTGGGAAGGTTATTGAGGGAAGAAGAAAGATGACGAGGTGGCAGTTAGAGGATTGCGGCGCAGGAAACACGAGGGTACAAGCCACAGCACCAGCCATCCTTCAGTGACTCCGACAATAGATGATGATGACTCTCTTCACTGAACTCAGTCCTTCCCCGACACCTAGAAGGGGTATAGACTGTTGACTAGAGGGGAATGATAAGACCCTGTCGATAAGCAAAGTGGACGGTGGAGACGCGTAGTCCGTGGCATTAGGGCGGAACTAACCCTATTCTTCTCCTAGTGTGTCCACCCGGTGCAGTCAGGCAGTCAGATGAGAACAACCAGGGAAGGGGAATGACCCCAACTTGACCGACTGTTACTGTCACTCTCACCAATCAGCTTCCAGTAATTCCATCCAAAAGGCGATCTTGTTGTGAACACTGCGTTTCCAACCGGGAAGTGGAGATTTGAACCTGGAAAATGCACTGCCTTCACCACCACCATCCACTCCACTCCACTGCACCAGCCACAGTACTGAGTGGACACACAGAAGAGACAGCCTTACAGTCACCAGGCAGCACTTTCTCTAGGAAACTTCTCCCATCAGCTGCCACACCCTCCTTTCCCATCGTTATTTTTTTTATTATTTTTAATTTTAGATTATGACTGATTCCTCCTTAGCGTCTCCACTTGTGACCAGATCCGTCATGAATCCCTCCTGCAGCTCATTTTACCTTCCATGGATGCCTTCCACTCGTCATGTCCAACTATATAACCTCCTCTGCTTCCCCCTCTACTTCTCAATTTCAACTTCATACATCTGCATCCAGCTCTTCAACTCAGACCTATTACCAACCATCTAGCCACTCGCAAGACCACTTTGTTTGCGATCTATTCATTCAATCCCATTACTGCTACCCACCTATTCACGCAACACGTGCTCACCCAGAGCTCGACCTGACCCATCCGTCACACTGTCGCCTTTCAAGTCTACTCGATTCCTCTGGCCCCCTATCTACACCTCCATAAGGGAGTCTGTTCCCCTGCGATCCAAGCCCCGTCTCCGTCGCACCGCAAGCATGCCTCACCAGGTCGAGCAAGCCGCCGAGCCCGTCGTGCTCGTGCGGGAGCTGGAGGACGACGAGACATATGTCCTCAACAGCTTTGAGAGCCACGCCGGTCACTGCTCCCGTTGTGCCAACCCCCTTCAGACTCGCGAGGAAGACCGGTCTCTATGCAAGCGCGGCCACCAGTATGCCCGCGACGTGGCTGAATACCTGCGCAGCAAGAACGGCAAGATCTACTCGGTGGTCGACCTAGAACGCAACCGATCCACACTGGTCAAGGTGCCTCTCAAGTATGCCGCCGCCCGTCAGCTGCTGCTGGCAATTGAGGACGGCCTGCGCGTGGAGAAGAAGTCGACCGCCGGCGTTCGTGCCTCTGCGCCCCCGGTCATCAGCTACGATGCCACCTATCCCGTGCCCCCTCGACGCACCACCACTCAGGACTACCTTCATCCTTCGCAGGCCATCATCGAGCGTGAGCCACGGACCCTGAAGCGTCACCGGACCATCATCTACACATCCCCTCGCAGCTCGCCCAGCCGAGGGTCACTGTACGAGGCTGATGCGGCCGAGCGGTATGAGCGCGTCAAGGAATCGTCCCGCATCTACCGGCCGACCGACTACCACCGTTGAATGAGCACAACGCACTGGTTTGGAACTAGTCATTACGGTCTTACCTCGTGCACGACACTGGATACCTGTCTGCTAGCCTTGATGCAGCCAAGATGCTGTTACCACGCTGTCCCCCAAATCGAATTTTGTCCACCGGCAAAAGGTTTTCATCAGACCCGCCGCGGCCCCCAGCAAGTTCCCATATCTGCCCGATCGCATTGGATTTGGCAATGGAGAAATCGCTCAGCTACTGCTGCACTTGCGCGTTCTTGCAGTGCACTGCATACGCCTGCAGATGCGAAGAGGATCTCGATTACTTTGTTTTTCGCATCTTCCTTTTCTGCGATCATCGCAACAATACCTTCCTATGTCTTATGTTTGGTATTCTTCGGTTCATCCCGACTTCTCGCAACCAAGAACCACAAAAAAAAAAGACAAACTCGCCGAAAAAGGCCACAAAGCAGAGGAGTGGACAAAGGAGAATGAGAAGAGGGACAAATAGAGAGAAATCTGTTGTGCGACCCTTCTTCATGCTGTCTACACCGGGGGGAAAGCGGAAGAAGCCCGCTCCAGGTTGGGGGCATTCCAACTTTTGTTTTCTTGCTGCAGCCAAGATGTACTGTAACTTACCGTATGTTGCATGCAAGCAGTGACTCATCCGTCTCGGATGCCGGATTTGTGTGCTTAGTCTAGAGCACGATGGCTGCAGCTGACCTGCAGGCCGCGCCTTTCCTTTGACTTTTTCTTTTTTCTTCTTTTTTTCCCTTTTTCTTTTCTAACTTCGGATCTCCCTTAAGGACACCGTCCCCTCCTTTGATCTTCCCAATCAGGGATTCTAGTTCATGAATTGAAACTCCTATGTCGTGATTGGTGGTTCCACGTGTCCAGCTATGTATGCAGTATGAATCAGGACTCGTAAATGATTCGCCAATTGAGAATATGTTTGATGCCCGCAGACGAATAGTCTTCTAGATTGGGCTTAGCGTTTAGTAGGGGCTCCTTACACCCCTGTACATTTAGTGCCTTGAGACGAAGACCTTATTCTACGTATACGTATACGTAAATGATATGGAGCCTCTTCAGAAAAGACAATCCGCTCAAATGGTTCTAAGTATAGGTAGTTCTGCCAAATCGACAATTACCGCTTCCGCCGGGGACAACCCCCAAAAGCAAACCCGCGACATCCTCCCTTCCCCCCTAATCCACCGTATCTCTCTCCAGCAGAGCAAGCAAACAAAGGGCATCAATTCTCCGAACCAAACAACATTCCCTGTCCGAGAACCACGGAGTGTTCCAAAGTAGGAAGAAGCCAGGCCTCACCGATGCCACTCCTCGGAGATTTTTCTCTCGCCTCGCCGGGTAGCAAATCCCGCAGGCCGCGGGCGTGGGTGGACCTGGGATATCCGAATCTGTGATCCCGGAGGGAGGAGGGTCGAGACGCCGGAGCTTTGCAGATGACTGAAAAGTGTAAAGGGCGAGATATGCAGCACTGCACGCCCAGGGAGAATCATACAGCTCCGCTGCAACCGTCCAACCTAATTTAATGGCTCATGCACGCTGTCAAGGTTGAGGAACCTTGTTTTTGTTTGTGTGTGGTTGATGCATGGCGGATGTCGGTAAGTGGTTGCATGTCGCGACAAGACAAGACAAGACAAGACAACAACAGCATTTCGGCCAGGATGTAAATTGATACTATTCAGTACGTGCGCTCAGCTACGCAAGGCGTGGGTCACTTCTCTCCAACTCAATTGCAACTCATTGTTTCTAAACATAGACCAAACTCGACCGCCCGCCCCCCGAACTTCGACATTGGACTGTCCAGACTCCAGAGCGCGTCGAGTCTCCACCGACCCGCCAACACTACCCATACAAATTTTGGTCTTCGACATAGCATCACAGGCGACATCCAAGTCTAGAACCAGCCTCCGAGGGCGACTTGGCACTTTGGGTGGTACGTGCCCAACAGAGTGGATCTTTCCCGGACCGTGGACCCAGTTCCCGGGATCCACTCCGACTGAGCTGTCATGCCTCTATACCGTCTCCATCCCTAGCTGAAAGTGCGTGGTGGTGTTTCTGGGGCTGGGATTGGGTGAATCGCTAAGAAAGCTAAGGGGTGAGGCTAGATGGTTTGGAGTCCGTTGCTATTTAGTGCTATACTGGGGGCGACGGGGTGGTTAGGTAGGAAAGTCTGCACCGGAATTGTGGGGGTGGGTTTGCCTCACTATTTGAGTTTTTGTATAGATGGTTTGATGGGAGGAAGGGGTCTGTGCACTTAGGATGTAGAGATTGAGGGGTTGCGATTACGATTGGGATAGTGGGTGTGGCTGGTGAGGGTGTCGAGTGGGTATCGGGAGGTGGTGAGGTGGTAGACTCATGGATTGAGGGCTATCGCCGGATGTGAGGTAGTGAAGGGGTGACGAGTGATGGATACGCTATTTTCCGTGGACCTCTTGAGTGTAGAGGATGGTTTATTACTTTAGAATTATTGAGATTATGGTGCATTCACCTACAACAAGGATTGCAAATACGTTTTCTGGATACCTCGCCTTCTTCATGAGTTCTCCTTCTCGACTACCTTTCTCTCCCTTAGGCCTCGAAGGATTGATGTCGGTATGATAAGTCTCCACGAGTCTCTCCGAGCACAATTCTAATAGCTTGCAGCCAGAAAACCACGCATGACCATCAGGGCTTTATCGACCAGAGATGGTCTCGCACACCGGTTGCCGTCGTCGATGCTTGGCTGCTCATCTGGTGAACCAAGGAATAAGCCTACTGACGAGGACACGGGTTATAGCCCTAATGTCGGCCACGAATAAGACTAAGGTACCCCTATGAATTGGGCGAGTTTATTCAAGTACAATCGGACTTTCAAACAGGCCCGCATTGAGTACAATCAACAAGCCCATCGTCTCACAGAATGTATGTCCTCGGTTATCCAGCCAGTTAGGCTAGTAAGCGTTGCCATCCGCAGACCTCACTTCAATTTGAACGCCAGCATCTCTTAGCCCATCCACATACTCCATGCCTAGGAAACTCGGCGTAAAGAATCCGCCCTTCCCAGCCCGCTCTCCTCCGCTCTCCTTGCTCCCCCTCTCTAACAAGACCCTCGCCCCAACACAGGTTAGCAACGCTGTGAACTCATACAATGCCCCTTCCCGCAGCAACGAAGCTTCAATAACTCCTTTTTCAGTCCCTATTCGACCCCCAGCCCCACCTACAGCCCGGTATCCCGCACGCTCAACCCCCCTCAACGCCTCTTGATCAGGCAAATCACCCGCGTTCATAGTCAGGAGCTTCCGTACCAAGCCCCTCACAAGCGGTATCCAGAGCAATAGTATGGCGATCTTTGTAGCACAATGTATGAAGATCGCATTCCAAATCCCGGTAGTAGGAAGGTACTCCTTGTACTGGAAACCATCGCCATAAAGCCCAGGGTTCTGGGCTGCGCTGCGGTGTACAACCGAGGCATTCCCGGGGCCCGCGAAGGATGTTGTCAGAGGCCCTAGGACGGGATGAAGACAGTAGCCGAGCGCTTGAGACAGAAGTGGTGATCCAGGGACCAGCCGCGGCGGTTGCTTCCGGGAAGTGAGCACCCAGGAGCCCGAGTTTCCGGACAGGTACCAGGATGCACCCCAGGTTGTGAGACTGTCGAGAACGGTGGTCAGGGAGCCCGGGGTCATTGCTTTGATGCTAAGCTTCCCAGACGATACAATCTCGCCCGGTCCCCTGGAGTACGTCTCCCTCGTCGTTTTTGTGATCAGCCACGCAAGGAGATCGGCCGGTGCGGCCGGTGAGATCCCTGGTATTATCTGCTCTCATCACTACCGTATCAGCGCACACCGTGGGACAATCCCGACCTCGACCCAGCCTGTAATCCATTGACATCGGGCTTGAAAACTCACAATAGCCCCGCTCTCCCTCGCAACATCCTCGTACCTCTCAATCAACTCCGCAATCCATAACGTCTCGGTCGAGAAATCGAGATAATGTGTGCCCACCCGCGCACAAGCCTCCACAATCGGCGTGGAAAACCTATGGAACGGTCCGACGCCATTGACCGCGACCTTTGCCTTCCGGGTAACTGACTCGAGGCTCTCTTTGGTGAGTTCAAAGATTTCGATTTCTAGTTGTGTCGAAAGTCATTCACCCTGTCAGCTTGACTGACTAGGTCAATCTCCACACAGGCCAGAAGGTCGGGGTAACAGTCACCAACGCCGTCGGAGAACAGGGGCTGTACGTACCAGGCTGCACCCTATCCGGATACAACTCTCTCAATTCCCTCGCCAACGCCTGGAGTCTTTGTTCTGATCGGGCGCCAATGCACCAGCGGATGTTCGTAGGGTAGTGTTGGGCGATGAATTTGGCGCAGAGGGTACCGGTATACCCTGTTGCGCCGAGGAGAAGGATGGAGTACATTGTCTGACTTAGTCGCGGGAGTCTGATACAAAGAGGCGATGGCAATGGAAAGAGGGATGAAGATGGTTTGACTCAAGCGCCCAATGAGTGGTGTGGCTTAGACTGTTACAGACTCAACCCAGGCAGACGTGGAGGCAAGGTGGGACGAGGCTGGGCATATACGGAGTTCCGGGTTTCGAGTTGTGTCAGGAGTAACAGGGAGTTAGCTCTATCACAGATTCCAAGATGTGGACTTGGAGTTTCAAACTAGAGTTTTCTCATTACCAGATCGCCTGGTAGTCTTTATGGATAAGTTAGAATTGTTGGGTAAAATCAAAACTAATTTAAAGGCGCGTAGCCGGATGCTAATATCGCGTCCTGTAGCTCAAGCAGTTCACTTAGGGAGAACAGAATGGTGATTTCTAAATTAGTTTATAATGATCCCATTTTTACCAATCAAGGATTAAGCTTATTGAGCCTAAGAAGACTTATAACTGATTGATCTAGCCAGATACAGGCCCACTTAGCGGCACTAGCCTAGGTTCAAACCCAAGCCTGGAACTCCGGGCTCCGCGAGCCCATATTTCGAGGTTGAATCTAATTTACTATAAGTACATGTATACAGACGCTGCCCTTCCACTCGCCCATCCATTGTTATTCATTAGCCCTTCCTCCTTTATCAACCATGGACCCCCACAGCACCTCCCGCGAAAAGCTCCTGGTAACCCCACCCTCGCCTCCACCTCCACACAATCTCACACGAATTGTTTACTTCCCAGATAACCGGCGCGACCGGCTACATCGGCTTCAAAACCCTTCTCACAGCTCTCTCCCGCGGCTATAGCGTACTTGCCCTGACCCGAAGAGACAGCGACATCTCTGACCTCCAATCCAAAAGCGCTGCTATCACTGAATCCACTCGATCAGGACAACTGAAGTTTGCCGTTGTCCCCGATTTTCTAGCCGAATATGCCGTCTACAATGGGATCGGGGACGACGGTGATTGTTCATCTGGCGTCGCCGTTGGCTCCTCAGGTGAGTTTCGGTTTTCTGATTCATCTTCTGACGTTGGCTGGGGCTGATGCGAGGGGGGCGGTCGAGTAGACGGAGGATTATGAAGAGGATATCATCCGCCCTGCTGTTTCGATGGTAACAGTGTTCCTTGACGCTGCGAGAAGGGTGGAGAGTGTGAAGAGGGTTGTTGTTACTTCTTCTTGTATGCACTATCCATCGACCCGGCGCGAGGAGATAACAAAAACAGCTAAGGGAGACAACAGGCGTGACCCTCATCCCCTTCGAGTGGAACTTCAACCCAGATTCCGAGAGACTCTATACCGGTACTGTACCTCCGCTTCCCCCCATCACCACCCCTAACGGAGATGCAATCTAATCAGATGTAAAGCAACCGACCTGAATCCCACCCTGAACATCACCCCAGCCTCTCCCATGGAAGCCTACTGGATCTCCAAAGCGCTTGCCCGAAAGGCCAGCCGTGACTTTATTGAAACCCATCGTCCTAGCTTTGACTACGTGAACCTCCTCCCCGGCGTGGTCATCGGTCCCGATGACCGTCTTACCCCATCGCCCACGAACAGGAACGTTAAGAGCGATGATGTGCTACACGGGACGAGAAGGTCCGTGCTTGCGCCCGTTCTGACAGATGATCTGAGTAGTTCGTTTCCTTATGTGGGTGTGCCGGTGCATGTGAGTGATGTTGCGAGGGCACATATCGATGCTGTGGATCCGCGGAGGATTCCCGGGAATCGGGAGTTTATTCTTGTTTCGGATGCTGATGCTGTCGAGGGTGTGGACTGGGAGGAGGGTGTTAGGGAGGTTGTGCGGAAGTACTATGGGAAGGAGCTTGAGGAGGGTTTATTTCCGATGGAGGGGAGGTTGGGGGTGATTCGCTGGAGGGTTGATACGGAGGAGACGGAGAAGGTGTTTGGGTGGCGGTTTGTGGGGTTTCAAGAGACTATCAAGGCCCTTGTCGCGCAGTGGGTTGGGTTGAAGCGGTTGGAGAGGCCAGTGGAGGCTGGATGCGAGTAGAAGATTGTCAGATGGACATAGACCCTAGACTGGGATATACGGATACGATGCGCCTGGCTTGAACACTTATGGAACTTAGTGGTAAGCTCTAAGCCTGGACCCTATCACCACGTAGTCTACATATCAATCGGTGCAGCCTGTTCCACATTATTCTTTCCTGGCCTCCCTCGGTGCACAAACAGCTTCCACATTGTTCCCTTCCATGTCAACCGCAAACGCCGCGTAGTAGGGATACCGGCTCATCTCCTCCCTGATCCCAGGACCGCCATTATCCTTTGCTCCGTTTTCTCTGTAATGACGCAATGGCATCAGTAAAATATGCTTTCCCATTCCCAGTTTCCAGCGAGGAAAACAGAGGGGAAAGGGCACTCTGATAACCCACAATGCAAGGCGATGAAACTCCTCAACAGCCGCCCAATCTATACGTATACACACACATCAGCAATGGCGCAACAGAGCGCAGTCTGGAAGCATCTAAGCAAAGGAGTGCTTGGGAGAACTAACTCGGCGCATCAAACGCAACGTGAACGGGCATCGTGCTCTTCGCCTCCGGCAACGCCTTGATCCAGAAATAAGGGTAGTCGCTCCCAAACCCGATCAGCGTGCTGTTGTACGCACAGATCAGCTCTTTGTACCCCACTGGGGCGAGGACTTTGCTGTAGAAGATGCGCAGTGCGGGGAGGTTTCTGGCAGTTGCCCAGAGGAAGATGTGGTTTATGCTCATGCTGTGTCGAGTTAGAGAAGAATAAAGTAAGGTTAGAATGGGGTTAGATGTTCGGAGGGGATTGGAGATGGAACCCGGTTTTATCTGGCTGCGGGCTGCGGCAGGCAGGCACGTATTGGAGCCTGGGGAATAGCTCGGAGTTCCGTATTAGGCCTTCTTGTTCAAGGTTGTCAGAAGCCCACCTTGAAAGGGAAGAGAGGCAATCTATGATGTGCCAATAGGCAGACGGAGGGTGCTCAACTGAGTTTCGGGCCTATGCAAACTAACAAGGTGCCGATTGCCCCATAAACATGTGCTTAAGACATAAATCTCGGCTGTATGATGAGAGGTGGTTTCAACTTGGGAGAGCTTTAGGAACACTGTGTCAAATATTAAGATTTGTTAATAACTATACAGTAGCGATGCAGTAGCGGTGCAGTAGCGGTGCAGTGAGTACGGCTAAATCAAGTACTTAAGTAGCGCTGATCTTTGTTTGTTCCTTTTCATGCTTGTGTATCCTTGAAGAAGGTAGATGAAAATATTTTTCTTGAGTCCCTTCTCTGAATGTAGGGTTCTGTCACCAGGCAGCCCTACGACGATGTTCTTCTCTTTGGCACATATGTGATCACGTGATCGCATGGGTCGTCCGCTGCTGCAGGGCTGCCAAGGCTATTCTATTCCCCTAAAGGCATGGTAACGTTAGCCGACGAGCTCGGAGTTCCGGGTTCGGTGTCCACCACCTTGAGCCCTTCGAGCCTTGGAGCTCCGCATGTATGCATCGTCGTCCAACTCACCCATCTCACATCTTCACAGTCACAAAGTCACAAACATGGAGCCTACAGCTGTGGATAAGAGAGCCGAGCGGGCTGAATGCCCCTTTTGTACCACTACCTTCACCCATCGTGAGGCCCTTTGAGCTCTCTCTGTCTCCGGAGCGCTCTCTCATGCAGTATCAACAGGCTCCTCGCTTATTCGTCACCTCCGGAAGAAGTGCAACCAACCTCAACCGCAGACTGTGCGGCGCAAGGCATGTAGCCAATGTGTCGCGGACAAGACGCGGTGTAATCTTAAGCGCCCCAGCTGCTCGCGATGTTCTATGCGACAGATACCCTGCCAGTATCCAAACCCCTTCCTGGACTCATCCGACTCTCCATCACCAGACAGGGAGGAGACGACTTTGGCACCACAAGTAAACCCATCGAGTCCACCGGAGCCACAGGCTGCTGATTCGTCAAGCCTATTTGAAGCCCTGCTTGCCGACTCTGCGCCTTGGGACCTGTCCTTTCCTTTTGACGTAGATTCTTCCCTGTCCCCACGTCGCATCTCCGCAGCTCTGGTCCGTAATGACAATGCCCAAACATACCCTCCTGGGTTGATCGGTGAGATTCCACCAGAACCAAATGCACTGTCCCCCGCAGCGGCGCTGGCGAACCACAGCATGGAGTTCATCTTCCGTGTTCTTCGATCCTGGCCCAGGATGCTGGCAGGGGATTTTCAGACGCCTTCATTCATTCACCACAGCTCTATCGCCGACGATAGGACTCTACCCCAATCCCTCGCCAACTGCTTCACTCTCGTCACAATGTGGCACGGGCAATGTCATGGAGCCGAGAACCTGGTCCACCGCCTGATCCTGAACGAAGTAAACAGCCTCTTGAACAAGGTGCGTACACACATCCGGACCCTGGAACAAACGTCGGCTGATAACTGAAGCTCGACGATCTCGACGAAACTTCCCTCCTCGCAATCCTCCAAGCAGTAGTAATTTACCTGATCATCCTGCTCTTCCCCGGCGAGAGCTCCCGCCCAACGCTGCCCCCACCGACCCTCCTCCACAAGATCCAAGACCTGGCCAACCACGCCGCCAACACGGGCCTTTTCCTCCAGGAGGAAAGAGAGGCAATGCGTCCCACGTGGACCGCCTGGGTCCACGTGACCTCCAAGCGACGCGCGGTGTTATCGCTCTACCTCCTCCGCTGGGCACTATCTGTCTTTCACGACGCCCCGCCGCTAGATTGCCGCCAGGTAGGCTTCATGCCGGCGCCTGCGGCGAAGATCCTTTGGCAGACGAAGTCGGAGCAGGAGTGGAATTCCTTGTATATCCGGTGGCTGGCCAGATGGGATGGGCATGGCTACATCCAGGGTGAATTCGATCAGATCCGACCGGGGATTAAGATGGTGGAGAGGGCGGAGAAGTGGCTGGAGGAGGCGGATGAGTTTGGAATGATTATGATGTTCATCGGTGAGTTACCCTTTCAGTGGAGTGTGAGTAGGATCACCGCTGACTGTTGTGATATAGTAAACGCGACAGACTGCCCATTACCCACGTTTGCGGTTCATTGATGCATTATGCCAGTGCCCAGCTTGATTCACACCTAGTTGCACAGCGTCTTTCATTTGCTGAAAAGGAACAACACCTAGGTAGCATCAATTGGCACGCTACCGTTTGCTTTCATGGACGCCCATATCCAAGGTTTCTCTACGATGATCCCTCCAGCAACACTCACTCGTATCTAAAAGTTAAAAGCAAGGAACAGTCAGCATCCTTCGCAACCCAGGCATGGTCGTAGTGACCTCCACATGCCTGCAATATATGGGAGGCGATTAGGAGCTTCCTTACGAGGCCCGTCTGGGACTTGGAAACTATAACACACGTTACCACAAAGAGTATCCAAAATATTCAATCTTGTCGTATATTCCTAGGAAGATGCGACGGTTGCGTCAGACACTGCCTTTCTACACGCGCTGTTAGCAGCATATGAGCGGGACAAGAGAATCATGAGACAACATAAAATCTGTCCAGGTGCAGTGCTGCACGCAGTTTATTATGTCGTGGCAGCAGATATCGAAACACTCACGCGAATCATGCTGCAACAGTAATGTACTTAGTAGAAGTACACCATCTTAATATAAATATCTCCCTATTGCAGAACTCCCGGGACACTACGCAATCAGTCCCGGACGTCCGAGTTGTGCATTTCTGACCAAACTCCAGGTGCATGTCCGTAACTCGGGTTTCCAGGTGCACGCATGAGCCCCAACTGATACCTCATGCCTAAGTGGTTGAGATCTGACATATTGTGAACGCGATGTGTAATTCTTGAGCGCGTTTAGAGTTGATTACAGGTGTGCGGTATGCGATTCCATTCATAAAACTCCCTGGTGAGAGATATATAAGCACCATTGTGCAACCCAGGGATGAAGATGGAAGACCCCGAGATTCTAAACCACTAAAGCCGAGATGCCGGGCACAAACCACCAAGAGGAAGCGGCAGAGTCCGCCGGGCATCCTCCCCACAGCTCGCAAGGAGGGCCTTGAACAGGAACTTGGTTAGGTAGGTACTATGCATACCGTGACAAAGCCCAGTGTGACCTCTGAGATAATTGAACTTGAAACTGACGAAATCAGACTGATAAGATACGGTGGGCGGAAAGAAAAGGGATATAAAGGTGGAATACCCCCGTCATTAACTCTGACTCTAGTGTACCGGCCCCAAAATTCAGTTTTGATTTATTCATTTTATTCATGAATATTTACCACAAGAACAGATACAACAATCAACTCGTGTCTCCCAAGTCATCACATCTTGCCCTTTGACTTCAAATTCCCATCGGTCAAAACCTTCTTTCCGATTCCTCTCTCCTGCAACAGTCCTAGTACAAGAGCTTACAGCCCCAGCTAGTGGGCTCATCCGGGTTACCCGTCCCGTTGTACTGGGCCTGGTAGGGGTAGTGGCACACGGGCCGCTGGCGCAGGACCTCCGTCGCCGTCGTGTCGTTCTTCCACTTGGTGGCAATGATACTGTCCGGGGCGGTGCCGTTCTCCACCCAGGCCATCATCGCGAGAATGATGTCGTGCTTGGCGTCCCGGTACCCGGGGACACTGTACGTGCCCGTGTTGATCATGGCGGCTTGGTCCGCGCCGGCAATGTACCAGGGGGCGTTCATGATATCCGGGGTGGAGTAGCAGTGCCTGTTTATCGAGAGTCAGCCATTTATTCTCATGAGACCTGATTTGGGAAGGACTAGGCAGGAAAGAAGACGATAGAGAAACTTACTCCATGCCAGGGATCAAGAACATGCGGTAGAAATCATCCATCTCAACGCCCTGGGGCTTGAGCGCGCTGGAGGCCTGGTCGTAGTAGTAGATACTGGCATCGGGGGAGACGTACGAGTCCGACAGACCGTGGTAGTGCAAGAATTTGCCGCCGCGGTTGTGGAAGGCGCTGATGTCGTAGCGGTCGGCCGTCGCGTTGCCCGGGTTCAGCTGGTCGGCCAGCTGCACGGTGCTGTAATCCAGATCCTGCCACACAAAGTCGGAGAGGCCCATCAGGTCGCGCGGATACCAGTACTGCTGGTCGATCGTGCTGTCTTCGCCCAGGCCGATATTGCCGGTCAGCCACGAGGACTCGCTGCCCAGCCACATGTGGCCGTACACGTAGGTCTGGTTGACATCGACCCAGTCGTTGTGGATCTTGTACAAGGTGGAGAGCTGCTCCGCCGTCAGGCACTCGTCCGCCGCGCTGGTCGCATTGCACATCAGGACGTTGGGGTTGAAGTTACAGCCTGCCGGGTCGGAGATGATGTTGTCGACCAGGCCATCCTGGGGGTCACACTGCCTCAACACCTCGGCGGCGATGACATCGAACATCGGCTCCGGAATCGTGTGCGAGGAGTTGGCCGGGGCTTGGTAAGTGGTCTGCTTCAGGTTGTACAGCTGCTGGTGCGTCGTCCACCAGGCCGGGGCGCCCGCGAGAATTCCGTCGTAGTCGTCCGGGTACTCCTGCATGTTCTTCATGCTCTGTCGGCCACCGGTCGAGCACCCATAGAAGTAGCTGTACTTTATGCCCGAGCCATACCAGTTCTGAATCAATAGTTTTCCCAAGACGGTCGCCCCGTGCCAGGCTCGGTAGCCCCAATCGACCACCGCCTCAGGTCGGCCAATCGCCCAGGTACCTTCGGTGTCGATCCCGACATGGCCCAAGTTACTAGAGAGCGTTGCAAAGCCGTAGTGAGTGCCAGTGCCCATGTCAACCCAGTTGATGCCGCCACCCGCAGCAGCCGAGCTGTGAGCAAGTCAGTAAGGATTATCAAGACAATGCGGTAAAACATACAGCAGACGACCATTCCAGTCATAGGGCAAGATCAGGCCGACGAGGTAGCTGGAGTTGCCCTCAGAAGGAACGTTGATCTGTACGCCACATCCCTCAGGTAGGTTGGTGGGATACTCAGAGGAAGATGTGTAGTTCATCGGATTGAACGTTCCATTGGCAGGAATGTACGTTGCCCATTGCACTTTGGCGCGTGTACCATTGGCATCAATGTACTTCTGAAAGGTAGTCGCCTTGCAGTTGGCCGAAGTCAAGGGGGTGGCCGCCGTCGCCGCCGAGCCGACCAAGGCCGTCAAAGCAGCCACGTTCGCAAACCACATGTTGGAGAATGTAACGGACAACCCGACCAGAGGAGAACAGATGGCTGATGATTAGATTTGGCGGTTTGGTATGGTGATATATATAGGCTGTATGCCATATTGGCCATTGTTGGTGACCATCATGTTAGAATGTGATCGCATACTCTGCGGTGTAGAGATGAAGAAACTGGTGACGCGGCGGCAGCGGAGACTAAACTCGAAGCTGCATCCTCCGCAACGTCTTGAACAAAGCCTACGGAACTGGTGATGATCGCAGAACGGAACAGGAAACGATCACCAGGAACTTTGCTGCAGATCCCGATCATGACGCTAAAAGCGGTCCAGACGGAGGGATCGCTTTTGCGGGGAGCTTCTTACTCAGTATACGGACCCAGCCTTATTGAGAATGACGAAGGTGGCTTGCGCAATGGGCTACTAGGTACTTAGGTACCGTCTTATGTGGCCCGTCTTGCGATGAGAGTGGGGGAGGAGGGGAGGGAGGAACATGAAACTGGGAAGTTCTGATTGCTTGGAGAAAAGACTCCAACAAGGTTGAAAGCTTGGCCTCGAGCTCGGCCTGAAGGCCTGAAGGCTTGTTTGTCCCGCTTCGCTCGGAGTCTAGTCCGATCCCGGCTAAGCCGACCAATCCTCCGATACCGGAGAATAACTCGTATGATCAGGATCATGATCATGTTCATGTTCTCGTGCTGTCTCTGGGGAAGCAGCCTGGGCATGTTAACGTGAAACTTAAACAGTATCTTATAGATTATGTTGCTATAATGTGAATCACATGCCAGCACTAATGCCAAATAATGTAACATTGTCAGGAAAGAATTGTGGTTCCGATTCGCAATGAAATAGGTACAGTTTTGGTGGACACTCTTGGTTGACGATGGAATAGAGAATCCAGCCTCAGTGAGAGACTTGAACCGAAACAGCTGACTTCATTCTCTGTGGCCCTGTTCATGTCTATCACAAGGGATGACTTGGGGTTAGATTGTCCTATGACCAACAGGTACTCGTCGTGTCCGAGATTTCCTTCAATTAGCTGACTGCTTTCCTTGACTCAGGTTCAATCGATAAAGTGAAGAGAGTATGAATTTAAGTTCCAGGATCTACTTTGTAGAATGACATGAGAGATACTCTTGGAGCAGATGTTTGAGTTTGCAGGCCACGTGATGGCATGACAAAGGGTGGCTGCCATCAAGTAAAGGCGGTCGACGCTAGGCTCAAGCTTCAACCGATGCACAGTACATGAATGTGTATCCGCCTTTTTCATCTTCTGATTGCCCCTGATATATCCACCGTGGCACAATTATCACAAATGGCCTGGGATACATTGTGTTTCAATGTTGCCACCCTGATTGCAGGCGTGTTTGTTCTCGACTACGGCGCAGACAAGTTCATCGACCACACCGTCATTGTCGGGCGGCGCCTAGGCGTCTCCCAAACGGTCATTGCACTTGTGACAGCGGGCGCTGAATGGGAGGAGGTCTGAGCTTCAGCGCGAATCTATCTAGATGTATCATAGCTAATCCCCTTATTAGCTTGCCGTAGTGATTGCCGCTATGCTGCAACATCAGGGGCCGCTGGCCCTTGGGAATGTCATGGGCTCGACCATCTCCAACGTTCTCGGGGCCTTCCCTTTAGGGCTACTGTTTCACCCACAGGGAGTGGATTTCGACCGCAGCGCAAAGCTATATTCTGCCCTGCTGCTCGTGGTCACGACACTATTCGTGATGCTGGCGTTCTTCAACCAACTGAACCCGATGGTCGGCGGGGTTTTGATCGCCGTGTTTGGCCTCTACCTCGGCTCGATCATCTACGCTATCTACAGGGGTGTAGCGTCGCCCCCCGAGCTATCGGACAGCGACGATAGCAGTGAGTCCGGCGGTTCCAGTCATGGCGAAGTCGACGAATCTGCCGCCCATGCCCCTGAACTCTGTGAGACGTCTCCTCTCATCGCGAACGAGCGTGTTCCTCCATCATCTACACGCAAAGACAGCGACGGCAGAAAAATCAAAAGCCTCCCATACCACCTATTCCAGCTCATTCTCGGCTTCCTCGCACTGTCGCTGTCCGGGTACATCATTTCCCACAGCGCCGCGACCGTCGCAGACTCCCTTCATCTCTCCGGAACCGTCTTCGGCCTGACAGTTGTCTCCTTTGCCACGACTCTCCCAGAGAAACTGGTTGCCGTCCTCAGTGGTGCCCGAGGCCACGGCGGCATTCTGGCCGCGACAACGGCCGGAAGCAATATCTTCCTGCTGACGCTCTGTGTTGGTGTCGTTGCAGTGGTGGATAACCAGGGACAGAAAGCGAGTGGTGGTTTTGTCGCCTTTGAGCTTCTGGCGGTCTGGGTCTCTTCCTGGGTGTTTTGTGCTGTCGTGTTTTTGGGGCTGGGGAGAAATGCGGCGGTTGTGCTCTTGGGGGCTTACCTTGTGTTTTTGTGCTTGGAATTCACTGTTTACCGGCGATGAGCACTTTAGCATCGAATGTGCAATAGAGGAGGGTTGTGGCTGGGACAGCCAGTGGGAACTTGGGTCGTTCCCCTGCTATATCTCATTTATAATGCAAGACCTTTTTATTGTTTACTATTGCCTACACCGCTGGTTTTCTTGATAGATCTTCGGTGATCGGCTTCATGAATTTGATCACGGAAGCTAGCTTACTGATAATCTCCGTAAATTCACTCAATCGCTTCTTTAGTTAGATGGCCAAGTACAGTCTCTAAGCCGCCTCAGCCTCTTCGAATTTGGTCTGACGATGACGAACGCAAGTGAAGACCCTGGACTTTACCTATTTGACTGATGGCAGGTTTACAAGATCAAGATGTCACGCGGGGACAGTTTAGTGTCTCCCAAATACCGGGGCTTTGTGGGCCGTACATGGCAGCTGCTGCCCAGGGAACCACTAATACAGACGCATAGTACCAACATTACCAATTACCAAACACCGATTCATGCGATGGGCATCACGCCGATCAATTCCCATACATCTAAATTTCGGGCGGATTTCCCGTCCCTCACCCCGAGGACATGGATGGTTTCGATGTCCGGACAGGGTGCGTAAAGTCCACGGCCGCATACTCCCCCCCCACAAAGTCCGGCACCCTCGCCGGCTCGTCGAGTCTCGCGACCGGCTCCTCGCGATGGGCATGCCGGCCCGTGAGGGTAATGAGCCGACCCAGAACCGCAAACTCCATCTTCAGCTTAATACTATACACCAGGGACTTCAATGCGACCTGCAGATAGTAGAGCCCGACATACTCCAGAACGAGCAGGCCGACATCGAGCGCGATGATAACAAAGTTGATAGCCACGAGCTGGTAGATCACATTCCCGGCGCCGCTGCCACCAGATCCTCCTCCTCCTCCTCCGCCGCCGTCGGTTTCCCCGGACTCTCGCCGTCGGCGCAGCAGCGCGGGATCGCCGGCCAACAGCACATGCACCGCCTCTCGGATATACAAGGCGGAGAGCAACAGCTCCAGGAGGCAGAACCCGGTCACCTGGGCGCGCTCGATGACCTGGTACGCGGCGTTCCAGGGGGCAGTGCCCACGAAGGCGGAGCCGTAAGTGGTGACGGTCGTCGGGGGCAGCAGGATGGCGGTGGTGAGCAGGATCAGGTAGAGGATCTGGCGCAGACGGCGCTCGTTGCGGAGGAGCAGGTGCAGGCGGGAGTACAGGACCAGCGACTGCACGGGCACCATGGCGTAGAAGCCGAGGTTCGAGATGAGCAGGGCGAGCAGGAGGGGGCCGAGCGAGTAGAAGTGCAGCACGGGGCCCACGACGCTGGGCATGACGCCCAGCACGGTGGAGACCAGCAGGGACCAGAAGTAGAGGCCGCGGTACTTCTTGAAGGTGAGGAAGAGCAGGACGACGAGCTCTACCGAGTTGTAGAAGGCGATGGCCAGGATCACGGCCACGATGATCTGCGCCGCAAGGGCGCTGTCCTCTATGCCGGTCACCAGCCCGGCGGGGATGTCATACAAGTTTGTCATGAGGCCGCGCGGGGTTGCGGTGCGCCGCGGTCTGCATCGTGGGGAAGAACTGCAGGAAGCGACTCTTTGGCTTTTTCTCGACCGATAACGATGTCCATGCACATTGCTTTGTGGTTCTCTGTATCTTCTCTTGTCTCACCGCGAGCTTCCTCCGCCCACTCCAGCTGCGCTGTATGTACCAACTGATGAGCGAACAGTGAGCGGCATCTTCCTTGTAAGGCAAGAATCAGCCCATGCCTTGACCGGCAACCGTGATGGATTTCGCCATCGAAGGAGATCAGCTGATAGCGAGGGAGAGCGATCAGTGGTACCGGTTGAGGTGGTAGGGTGGACTCCAAGCCAGAGCCGAATCATCATGCGCAACGCGATTCCACCCCCGGGAATTGAGTTGTCAGACCCTTGGTTATCGCAGCCGTAAGAAGAAATACAGTTTCAAACCCCGGATTCCCCGTCGAAGTTGCATCACCTCTCTGTAATCAGGGCCAGCAGTTTCCGTTGATGGAGATGGTTTCCTGAGATATAGCCATTATTGACAGTTACTCAGGAGCCCGAGCCCGAGGTTAGCAATTCTCGTTATTGGCTCTGAATCAGACAATCGATGGACTGAGACCTGAGAACTGAATGTCGGGGCGCCGAATGACTACTAGGCTAAGTAAGTGCATGAAACAAGATGCACCGAGGGGTTTCCTGAAACTCAACCAGTATAGTTTCCACATTCCTACCTTCAATCGCGAAGGTGATACCGTATACAGGGCTTCACTGTACACCTGTACATTGAGCCCACCACGGGCCAAGAAGGGAAATTTGCCGGAAAAGGCAAGCAAGCGGCAAGCCCCGCCTCATTGCCGAGGCCGGAAATCCGGGTTGGTTCCGAAGCCCCTTGGCTGAGTGCACTCTAGACATTCCCTATCCCAATTCATTAACTTGGAATCTTCCTTCTCTTCTCCTTGTGCCTTTCATCCTCACATTCCTTTCCTTAGTGGTGACAGGCACGACAATGCTTCTGCAGCCCCACGGGCCCCGCGGGCCCCGCGTCGCCCGCACTGCGACTTCTCCTCCTCCCGTGCACCCCCGCCCGGCCATCTCCGCCGCCTGCAGCCACAAGAACTCTTGCTGGCTTGAGCATCACCTACTGACGTATACATTTACGCTAGAATATAATAAGATAGGATCACGATTGTCCAAAATGAGTAGATAACACTACTATCAGTCGGGCGGGACCTTGGTAGGTAGTGAGTGGGTTTACAACCAAGGGGGCAACTCCACTAGTCAACCCTAACCCTCGTCAATTGGTAATCCAGGTTTTATGACCAAACTGGTGTCTTTCATTGCAAGAAGAAATGATTTCTAGTAGTCTAGTTAATGATGATCAACTGGACTATGCGTTCCATCGTGCTACTAGAAATCTACATCGATGCGGCGATAGCTCTAGCGCATGCAGGATAGCACGGATGGACCGGCCAAATCCAGCTTCTTTTCTTTGCTGGAGTCAACGTTCCTTGCAGGAGGTGAACGGAAGGACTCTGAAACTGCATATTGTATCTATATTGTCTATTGTGATGGTAAACAGTAGCAACAAATCCAGTATCGATGGGAATATGCAGTGAGGTTACCACATGTGGTGAGCCAGGGATTTTATTGAATCGTGCCCGTACATACCCCAACCACCTACCTACTTACGCAGGAACACCGTCTGTGACAGCGCCCCACCCCTTCATCGTCCAGTTCCCAAAGCAGGCATACTGATACTGCGCCTCCGCCAGACTTTGCCGCTGGATCTCCAAGAAGGTCGACAGCTCACACCACCCGTCCTCGCGGTACTCGCACTCGTCGAAGCTAGCGTGGAGCGGAATGGTGCGCTGGTTCTGAATGAAGTGCACATACTGGGTCGGGCCGCTACCGGTCACGTAGTCGCCGTTCTTGCTGGCAGCCTTGGACGATGACCGCTTGGTCGAGACCCTGTGCGGCGCGCTGATGATCTCGATGTTCAGACGGCCCGCGAAGGGCACGATGCGGCTGGAGTGGAACTGCTGGTCCTTGGTGGGGCCGGTGAGGGGCAGGGGATCGGCAAATTGCGTGAGCCCGAAGGCTGTCAACACGGAGACGATGTTGGCGTCGTGGGTGAACTCCAGGTACAGCTTCTGGTCGAGCGGGAAGGTGACGGGGTTCGTGTCGAGCGTCAAGTTCGCCCCGGTGGTATTCGCGGGAACCTCGAGAAGATGGCCCTCCACGCGCGCCAGGAACTCTTCCACGAAAGCGATGCCCTGCGCGCGACCGGTGGGGCTGTGGAAGCCGGAGAGCCCCGCGAACTCGAGGTCCATGAGATAGGCCCAGTTCTCCCAGTCCTCGTACGTGAACAGCTGGCAGAAATCACTGTAGCCGAAGCTGATCGCCTCGTAAGGGCAGAGCGCCTGCGCGTGGTACGTGTCGGTGACCGTCCAGTTGTAGCTTCCCGTCAGATGTCGCAGCTCGGCGGTGCGCTCCTGGAGATAGGATGCCATCCAGGTGCCCACGGGGACTTGGACGGATTCCATCATGGTCTCTGACGCCTTGGTGCAGGCGGACTGCCCCGTGGTCGCTGGGTCGATGGTGGCCAGGATGTTGGCGTGGTCCCGCCAATTCAGCCCGAAGAAGCCCGCCAGGAAATTCTCGCAACTCTCGAGCATCCGCGCCTGCAGGGTCGTGCGCACCACGAGCTTCGAGGTACGGTTGCTATTGTCGTACAGGTGGCCGTAGTTGTAGAAGTTCAGAACACCAGCGTCGAATAATTCCTGACGGCCTTGCGGGACAAGGATCTCCTTGCCCAGGTTGTATGACCACTGGTTCAGGAACTCAAGCTTGCCGGAGAAGACGTGGCCCTTGGCGGCTGCATTGGCGATCGCAGCGCCCCAAGTATCCAGGCCCTCTGATGAAGAGGGATATCGCGCCCCGTGACGCTGGAGCATGTGCATTTGGGTGATATGCGCACCCTTTGGCAACGGATATTCGTTCACTCCGAAGCCCTCGGGCGGCGAAAAATAAGGACTGTTGGGACGAGTCAGTTATCATCCACATGTATGCTGGTGGAATCAATCCTACCTCAGGTCACCCATGAGGTGAAAGATGTTTCTCCCCTTCGCACCCTGAATGGGCTCCGAGGTCTCCAGCGGAGCGTTGGGAACATAGGTAGCATCCCCGAAAGGTGCAGGGTTGCTTTCGGCGAGGAAAGGCGCAGCACCGGTCGCGACAGTGCCTAGTTAGTACCATGTCAGTGGCTCTGGTTGTTTTGAATGGGATGAAGATCAATGGTGCCAACCAGCATAGAGATTAGGCGAGGTTTGGAACCAATTAGGCTGAGTGGGAGTCGCTCTCTGGTGAATCGCACTGGCTTCAACCGCGGTGGTGATTGCCACAGAGAGAACGAATGACTTGAGTGTATACATGGCCGTCATGAATCCTCAAGCTCTTTGTACACCACATCCCATCTAGCCTTGTCCGTCGAGTCTTTTATACATTGATTGATCGTATATGTCGGAAATGGTACGAATCCGATTAGACCGCCTACATGTCGGCTGTTGTGGTGGAATCATGGTTTTCGAAGGGTGACTGCACTGGAGAACCGGAATGAAGACAAGAACTACCTACCCTGCAATCAACATCCTCCCGCTCACCACGTGGGATAAAAGCGACATTGAACAGAGAGGGCATTCCGGCGGTTTCGTGCATCAAATAGACCCTGTTTCTGTAAGCGAAGCTATACTAGTAGAGCCCGAGTCAGCACGAAGTCCAAAGTCTCGTTCCACCTCGCAGGCCATTGGATCCAACGAAACCTAATCATTAGCCGAGATTATCTGACTGATTAGCGAGACCACGTGCGAGACAGCCTGCGCGAAGCAGCCGGTGCAAATGTCACGACCTCGAGTTTGACCAATGAAACTCGACGAAGGAAGACCGTGCTATCGATAGATAGCCCTGAAAATGCCAAGCCCAGGACTGGGGAAATTACCCGGACCCCCAGGAAACCTAACTTGTTTTTTTTCCTTGTGGTGTCTTCCGAGTCTTCCGTGAGCGCAGTGCCTTATCTGAGTTCCTTCAGGCGATCCGCACACAACAACTCCCATCTCGTAGATGTGATATCTCTTCAAGCATATCTTCGTTCTTCTCCTGCCCCGGCGTTTCTCTTTTTTCTATGTTTTTACTCCGTCGTGTGCAGCGAAATCAAGCCTATGTGAATGCTTGACGTGCGTTTAATCCGCCGCCCGCCGCCAGTCGCTTTTCCTATCCTCTTCCCTTTCCCCACTGCATCGGCCAGAACATCTCGCTGCTGAACATGAAGACCCCCTTCGCCATGATCGTGGGCCAATTTGACTTCCACGATGCATATGCCGAACATGATCGCTTGCATCCGTCCAACGGCGGCATTGGGACCGCTTTCGGGGAGCGGGCCTACGTGGCTCGGAAGGGCGCCGGCCATCCCGCTTAGGGCTTCCCATGCAAAGTCACTCTGCGGAAGAACCTCCAGACAAGTGATGTAGACGTCTAAGTGTTATAGTCCGGGAAGCTTAGTTCCAACTCATCATGTAGTTTAGATGTAAATCCTCAGTATCACCTCACGATGGTCTAATTTCGACTCACAACCATCGTCATTCAGGAGGCTTTACACTGCCAGTGAGCTCTTTTCGTTAATCGGGCTATGTTTAGGAGCAAGTATGGTGTATAATACCTGCCGTGTCTTTCGATGCGCTAGTCTCGATTTGCCCTATTTGAAATTGGCATAAGGTGCCTTCGCCCCTTCTGATGTAGATTGCAGTAAGGTCCAAACACGGGATTTCTGGTTGCTGTGTGCGAGTCGAGAGACTGTCGAAGATTGCTCCGGGATCAGGAAGTACAGGTGCTGAAGCAGCATCTCTCAATCCAGCCATTTGAAAAGTGGGCAGTGGGAGCCATGCAATGTTCTCCGCTGGGGATTCTGGTTCCCGATATCATCATCGGTCGGACCTCGTTTGTACACTACGAGGGAGCCCCATTGAGTATCTTCAGGGAAACCATTCTCAAGATATCTAGCACCTACGCAAGGCCGAGCCTCAGCCTTTCCAGCTTCGGCGGGCACTTTTTCATGGTCCGGAGGGATAGTTTGCTTGGGCTTGTCGCGATGAACACCTGAGAAAAGGTTACAAAGCGGCCAGGCGAATTCCCGCTGCCTGACTCCTAAGGTATCCACATATTCTAGACCTTTTCTATAGCACTTCGTGACTAGTTGAGTTGGCAGAGAAACTCTCAGACGAATAAAGACAGGCAAGCGCTATGTAATGATGACCGGATAACTTCCGTCTGAAGCAAAGAACCAAAGCTCGGTCGTTTCAGCCTGGCCTACCTTGTTCGATCAATATTCAGGCTCTGCTGGAAAATTTCCGACAAATAACAAGGGACTTGGACCCGGTCAATAGGCTAACAACCTCGGCCAGTGGCAAAGAAACATCGCGGATTGTGGAGAGAAGAATGGATACAATTCATGTGAACGTGTGTGCCTTTGTGCAGGGGCCTTAGCACCGCCCATCGATTCGAGCCATGAAAGCAAGGCAAAGGGCACCCTCCAGGAGATAGATGGACTTATAGCTCTCCCTACTTGCCTTTACCGAGCTTGGAGGGGCTGGAGCGAGTAATATAAATACAGGGAGCCCTGTCCGGGCTTGTTCAGCCACCATCACCAACAACTCCACACGATTCAATCATCCTCATTACGGATCGCTTTGAAACAATGTCTGAGTTCAGTCCGAGGGAAATCCTCGACCCGACAGTGTATTTCATGGGTGAATTTACCTTGGAGGGCGAGCGATTTTCTGGTCCCATTTGCCGACGGCCCCTGCCGCCGACGACCTCCAAGGCTAGACCGTTCGAATACACCGGCCAACCAGCAAACCTGGACTTGATTGAACAGATCGCAGAGCTCCTGGAACAGAACAAGATACCATTTCATGTGGTCAATGACGGTATGTGGCGTCACTTTGGCTGCCAGAATCCTATCAACTCCCTCGACAGTCATCCCGCAGTCCCTGCAGAAGCAGGCGGTCCAGGTCTTGCGCAAGGCTAACTTCGACGATAGCTGCTCCCGGATTGAGAATATATGTCTACAGAAGGACCATGAGGGCAACTACGAAGCCGCGCCGTGTAACTACATCTACAATCTGCGGGCGAACTTCCATCGGGCGTGGTGGGTGCCCGCTCATATCTTCCACCTCCAGCCGGCAGCTCCGGGGGAAGAGCTCCATGTGGATCTGAACCTGTTCAGCCACGAGGACTGGTTCCCGAACGTGAAGCTTCCAGACTGTAGTCCGCTAGCCGAAGATTATGAGACTTATCTGGTCTCGACCGATACGCGTCTCGCCTCGTGCGAGCAGGCCACCTACGAGGTCAAGTTGTTCCAGCCGGCGCGGATGGTGGAGGCCCTAATCCGCCTCGCCTACCGCGACTATTACCTGTACGGGCCCCAGCATCTGGACTACATCCCATTGTCCGACAGCTGCAAGTGGGTGGAGGAGCTCTCCAACATTTTCTCCTCGTTGATCTCGGAGAAAGAAGAGGACAGTACTGCTGCTGGTGCTGGGGAGCCCCGCAGCGAGCCCCCGCCTCCCTGGGCCCGTGCTCGCGTGAACGAAGCCTTTACCGAAGCAGCTGAGCTCACCCTGAGGGGTCTGGATCCTCGATGGCTTCGTCTCGAAGATTTCCACCGGGCATGGTTTTTCTACTTAAAGATGCTCAGCCACCTGCAGGATACCTCGGGAGACAAGACCTCAGAAAAGGGGGTGGAGGTTCATCCCTTCCGAGTCGCCTTCCACGCGTGTACTGGCTTCGCTGAGTTGTCCTGGCTCCCTTGGTCCCTTAAAAACCACGGCGTCTTTCCGGAAGACACCAGTCCCTTCCCGATGAAGAGTATCCTGGCTTAGCAGACTTTAATTGATCGCTTCCCGCACCTGGAGGAGAAGATCGATACTGCCCGGAGAAGGGATGTGGACGAGTGGCTGACTCCCTAGGACTACAAGAATGCCATCAGCTGGCGCAGGCGCGAACGTACATGGGATTATGATTGAAGACACCCAAGAATACCACCTCACAAAGGCAACACCTAGGTACTTTAGCTTAGCTTAAGTTATCACTACCAGCACCACTAGGCACTACTAGGAAATACTAGGTAGTTGCTTCAGGATTTTCTTTCCATCCACTCTCCAGTCTAGACACCACCTCCTTGTGGAGTCCATGGATATAAGTTAGAACTAACTACAACCCCAATGAATGGTTTTACAACTAAGATAAGATACCCCAATCTCAGTAAGAGAGAGAACAAAGATAAAAGGCCAAAGACTCCAAGACTGTTCGAGAACAAAAGTGACCACAAAGGGACCCCCGGGTCTTTGTAGCTCACGGCCACAGCCCCGCGATCCACGGGAGGCACAAGCAGAGTCCTGCCACAAAACAAAACCCTGCCACAAAACTCGAATCTTCCGGATTATCCAAGCTAGGGATCTCATCTAGTCCTGACTCCTCCTGGCTTTGGCTTCCCTGGGGTTCAGGAAGAGGCTTCGACGCCTGAAGCGCCGCCATGATGCGCTCCGCGCTCCAGGTCACCCCGTACCTGCCGACTGCCGTACGTAGTTGCTCCGTGATGGCCTTCCGCGGAACCCGCGGGGCATCTTTGCCAACCTCGGCAATTTTCGTCAGCCCACATTCCCTGTCGAAGTTCTGGCCAAGGCCCAGTTGGTCCCGGAGAATCAAGTGTACCGGGGCCATGACGAATTCTGTCGAGAGGGAGTCGTAATGTAATTGACTGTCGATCAAGTGGAAGTACCCGGCCATCCCTCTTTCAGAGCATACTTAATTTTAAGGTACTATACTAGGTATATACTAGGTACATACTGGGTATGTACTAGGTATGTACTAGGTAACTAGTAGTTCCTCCAAGAGAGCCTGGAATCCACCATCTTCACGCTCCAGGCTTCCATCAATACCCTCCAACTCCAGTAAGCATGAAGCATTGACTTTCGAGTCTTCTCACCCGTGTCAGGTATTCATAGCTAGGATAGCCTATTGCGCTGAAAACCACTATCAACATCCTGACACATATTTATTAATAGCTGCAGAGGTATTTGTCGAGAGTTGAACTTTAGTGGTGATGTTAGATTTATGATCGGCTGAAGTCCTTGGTGGCCAGATGGGCGGAGCGATTTCTACTGATGGTGAGCATCACCACGCCTACAACATTGACTTATGGAAGTAACTCGGCTTTCCACAGATGATTGTTATTTACATGATTCAAGTGAGCCGATAAGGAGGTGAAAGCAATGTTACTGCGAAATTTATATAACATGATAACCTGCCTAGACACGCACATAGTGGCTCGGTGACCCGATGAGCCGGAAAGCATAACCTCGTTCGCGCTGTGTTACTGCTATCCTTAGTCCTCTCCCTTCTGACCTTCTTGATATCCTTTGCTTGGTGAGCAGCCCTGAATATTGCCGTGGAGACTGACATAGTTTATACTAGTTGCTGACTGGGCCAATCTCGTGTTTCTGCGTGCGATACGAGCAATTCATTCCCAGTTTGAGAAATCTCTCCATGCCGTGTGCACTGTGAGATTTGAATGATGAGCTCTTCTTCCTCGTGGAGTTTCGCATCTTTCTGTGGCTTTTTGCCTTGTTCTGAGCATGTACTCTCTCCGAAGCGTTTCACATACTGGAGGTATGTCGTAATACTGTATTAAACAGCGTCATATCCACCCCATCGCATGACAATGATTTTAAGCCTGTAGACATAATGTAAGCATACTTCTTTCTGATTATTTGTGTATCATATCCATGCTATTGCACTGCTCTCGTATGCAAATAAACCTTGCCACCCATGATCTATATATCGTCTAGACGCAAGCTCGGTCAGATTTCGAATTTTTACGTAATTAGTTTATTCGGATACAGCAGGAATTTGGGTTATAGAAGTCCGCATACTGCTTGTAACCAGGTTGCAGAAGATATTGCTTGTTCCTTGTAACGTTACACCATGAACTCTTATGAACTATGCAGTTCGCGCGTCGTACAACCTTGAGATCTACTGCTGAACACGAGATCCAGCATAGAGAATTCTTCTATGGTAGGGCTGACATTGTCCTGTGCTGACGCCAGCCTGACTACAGGCCACTTCTCAAAACAATAACAAAATCGATCTGCGCGGCATAGTTGAGCGTTTGGCTTCTAAGCCTGATCTATAAATTCGGGGCTCTTCACCTCTCTAACCATCCTCCTCCTCATCAAGTTTTTATACTACAAACAAGCCAGCCAACCCCCAATTGATACGCTTTGTGAACACATCATCCGCCATCATGAGTGACTTCATCGGATCAAACAAGTATACCATCACGCCCCGCCACACCGACAAGAAACTCGACCTATACCAGGGCAGCAAGAATGACGGGACCACGCTGCAGATTTAGTATGGTCTTTCTCTGGCTCCCGCCGTTCAACTCTGTTTTGTCCGGGACCAAACTGACCTCTCGTTGTAGCGAAGCGCAGCCTGGCAATCCGAACCAGGAGTTTGTTTTTGCCGATGTGGGCAACGACGAGTACCTGATTCTGAATCTGGGTAGCGGCACGTACATGACTGCTAACAGTATGAAAGAAGTTCCTTTTCCCCCGCCTTCTGCCCCCTACCCTACCCATCTCCGGCTCCGATGGGAATCTTCCTAATACATTCGATAGGTGAAACTGACGCCCCCGTCACTGGCAATCTCCTCCCGCCCGTTGACCAGAGGGTGCGCTGGAAGGTGGTTCCGGTTCGCGGTGGAAGTGGAGCCTACAAGTAACTGACACTCTTCTGCTTGGGAGCATACCTCTTGCCTTGATTCCCCCATGGAAAGTTCACCCGCTAACCGTGTCTGGATTGGGAATCCTAGCCTTTACAGTGTTGCCTATCCGGACCTTGTGATGGATACCTTCCGGGCCGGGACTGACAACGAGACTCCGATCGTTCTCTGGACCAACAATGGAGAACAGAATCAGCAGTTCTTCTTGAGACTCCCCTGAGTGGGATACTGGTCCGTCCGAGGAGCGCGGTGGCCGACGGGGCTTGGCAGGTCGCATGTATGCCTGTAATTCGGGTCGGAGAGAGAGAGAGAGAGAGAGAACGGACTGAGGTTGTGTAATGTACCTGTGGGCCCCAGCTACCGCGCATTTGTGGTGACCATCTGGCCTTATCTGCATTTGATTGTTTCTCGTTGATTTTGTCTCGTTCGTCGTTTCGCGGCATGTGGACCCACACAGTCCTTTGAGGCCAGGATAGGTAGTGAATCAAGTTTGCATAGCTCGTATTCTGGAGATGCCACTTCTAGCCTCGTCAGAGAATAGTGCAAGAGTCTGCTGTAGTAGGGGTTTGTTCTGCAGAATCGACTGCGTATGCGCTCACTGCCATCGGGCGTCTATACCTGTGTACACTAATAATCACGCCGTTCGGACACGCATTAGATACTGTAATTACGAGGGAGAGAATTGCCCTTAACGCATACTCCAACATCGACCGCAGGTACAGGAGATCGACGCCCGGTTTCGACAAATTTTAACCAGCAGAAGTGGATTGGCCGTTCAGCTGCTGTCTTTAAGGAATTCAGAACTAGGACCATGTAGACCTGATTGGTCATAAGAGAGCCGATTCAGTGATCAAGCACGATCTATCATCGTCCGTGAATCCTATGTTTCAGGGATGCGGCAATGATAAAAACCTCCCCTGCTTAGCGGTCTGCCTGAGATCTAGAGGCATTGCCCTTTTGACTTCCATCTTCGCTGCTAGTCCAGTATTGTAGTTGTGAGCGACATGGGTGATCTGAATACCTTAGGCACTCCCGCTAGCACTTGTCCATTCTTTCTTCTCTAGGTTTTGGTCACAGAGCATCTGGCTACGACCCTCCATGCTTTATGTCGCTCTCGCTGACGGCTCACTGCCTCCCTGTCCAAGCGCTGAGTAGAGCCTAGAATTCTCGGCGCCTCTTCACGGAGCGTATCGTAGACAGCTGGACATATCACAGAATGTGTTATTTCGATGGCTTTCGGCGCAGTCGCAAACCAGATCGGAACTGCAACCAATGCCCCAAGCCCTGTTAGAGCGCCCGCGCCCACGCTCACGCCCAGAGCGAGACAAGCACCGATGGCACCCCACCCCACTGCTGGGCATTGTTGTGACAAGTGCGGCACCTGCAGCTATTGTATCCCAGTGTCCAGGATCGAGGAAGGAGCCCCGGGGGTGCAGCGGGGGTGCAGCGGGGAGGTTCATCTCGACGACCATTTTGCCATGATAGAGTTCGCCCTCGATTCGAAGTGGATACAGGTCAGCTGGGAAATGCAACGGCTCACGGATGCATAGTTTGTACCAAGATGGGACCAGCACGTGGAAAACAATGTCCTTGCCATAGTCCAACTCTGCCGTCAATCGTCGTCGGTATTTTGCATATCCTGGCCAAGCACATCGAAGTTCTTTCTCTTCATGCAATACTCGAGCGGAAGGGGGCTCTCGCTCGCCAGTCGGTCGAATGCGAGGTACCAGATTGTGTCCCGGTGGAAGACGAAAACTCGATGATAACGCCGGTCAACAGGCGCAATGTCTCCGAACTGAGATTGAACGAGATCGTAATACATGTCTGCCGTGGCCATCTGGCCCGCTGCTACCCGATGCCGTCAGACAATTACCGTCGCGGAGCTCGGTGGAAATATAATTCAGTTCTTTGATCACCTGAGCCACTTGTGTGGCTTGGACGATTTGGGGTCCGTGGATTCTCACATGGTTGACAATTGGATTGCAAATGCCGTGGGCGGCTTGGGAGTTCTCGATGCGGCTCACTGCGATGTTGTTGCTGCTGCTGCTGTCTATTCCTAAGTTCGGACATGGGAGGCTAGCACCGGCCACGAGTGTCTCTGGGAGAGAAGCGTTTGAAGTATCGACAGCTATCGTTATCAATGTGGTTCTTGTCATTATTTCCACGGTCATGCGGCTAGCAATAGCTTCAAGGTCTTCGTCTGGTGTGTACCCCATGGACTCGGAAGACCGAATGAGGTATCGATATAAGCCCCGGCAACCGCGCGCGGAGAGGGATAGAGCTTTCATAGCTGCCACGTACGGCCAAGTACCAGGAACAAGGGCGAGAATGGTCAAAGCCTCGTCAACTTCGCGTGCAACTGGCCCCACTATAGGCCCCACGATTTTCGCCACCTCTCTGGGGTGTTTAACCAGCACATCATCGACGAAATGGGCATATGCTTCGTGGGGAAAGGGGTCTGGATAAAGATGTTTGACAAGGCTGCCAGTCAGAGGTTGTACCTGCAACCATGCCGGCCATGTTGTTGGTGGTCTTCAGCTTGAGGCTTCTATACCTTGGAATTCGACTCCAAATTCATCTGGAGAAATTTTGAGGTGAGAGTTCGTCAGCGGCCATGGCCGGTTCAAGTAGGTGAGTAAGTTGTATAGAGTCACCTTGTAACGCTCTCTTTGCGTCAGCTCGCGGGAGCCACTGTCTGCATGCAGACAGGGCGTTCTACTCGCGATAGAACACGTAGCTCTAAGACGACGTTCAGCAGTGGAAGGACCGGAATCCACGGCGCTATGAAGCCCTATTAACGCGGGGCATTAGCGCCGATTGGGTCTGAAGTCACATGTAGTATTAAGTACCTGGTACTCTCATTGCAAGCGCTGGACTTTAGAGCTAGCTAGCTGTGACCTGGCCAGGACTTATCATCTGGGTCGGCTCTTATTGGGTCAGGATTTCTACTGTCGTAAGAATTCCGGAATAGTGTTAATGCTTATCAAATTTCTGAAAGTTACAGGCAAGTCTGACAAAAAAGAAATGAATAAGGACATTTCAACCGGAAGTGTTCATTCTTTTTCCAACAGAGTTAAAATAAATGAAAAGACCAAAAACATACAACAGAAGGGATTCGCTGGTGGTCACCCACCCAACTACTAACCTCCCGGCGTGTGGCTTGAGTACGGCTGAGCGGACGGGAAGCCCTATTTTCCACACCCTGTGGTCGTATGTAACTGTCAAGGATACTATTCGAGATATCCGGAGTGTTTGACCAATCAAATTGTCCGATCACCATCGCATTATACACCTGTACCGAACTAGAAGGAGGATTGGCTTGGCTTCATAGATGCGGCCGTTGGAATCCTCTGTAGGCGCATCAACTCCCATCACAATGGTACGAGTTGCTGGCTGTATATCGGATTGGAAATGCTGCTCAACACGAGGGACAAACCCGAGCATTTGTTGCTAGGTGACATACACATCGTACCCCGAGGTAGTCTCCAGCCCCAACACCAAAAACATCTCGGAATAGGGGACGATAATATGTCTATAGATAGCGATAAGCCTGCCTCGGGAACGAGCCGGATACACGGATTCTGGCCCCGTAATAACGTTCTTTGGCTTGATAATGCAGGCTGGTTCCCCAATCTCGTGTCGTGGTATTAAGGCTCGAACATAAAACAAACAAACAAAGAAAACTCTATTCTCTGTCAGGTGGAGATTGAAGGTGTCGAACCTTGGTGTTCCAGCTGAGCGTCAAAAGAAAACACGGGATTACGAGCCTGGAACTTTATCCCAGAGACCAAAACTCGGCACTATGCAATTTCAAGGTGATATTTCAAATAAGAAGCAGCTTAATATGACAGCTGAGCAGGATATAGATAATTTGAATGCTACTTATAATACAAGCCTCTGAATGTGTTCGTTTCCAGTTACCATCACCTAATTCAGATCCATTCTTGCTCGCGGTTGGCACAGTGCTGTCGTAGCATAGTATCTCTTGCGCGTCTGACCACAGAGGCAATTGATCAATTGATCAACACTGACACGCGCGAGGTAGTTTAGTCCAGGTCGCGCATAATCTCGTTCAGAGAACTCAGATTCTGTGACGATAATGCGACGATGGACTTAACATCCTCCACATCTCGCAGGCTGATGTACCTTCGTACGGTTCCCAAGTCATGGTTGAGTTGGTTACCCCCAACAGGGTTACTTTTCTTTCCCCAATAATTTTCAAGCCCACGCTTTTAGCTTCAACCCACTTACCAGTGGTGAGGGGGAACCAATAACACCATTCAACAGTTTTTGGCCCAGCATTTGGCCCTCCTTTCGGTCGATGGATGTCTGATGGATTGCCTTCGTAGTCTCCTACGTCTTCTCCCTTGCCCGACGTGTTGAACAACACCCGACATGCGGGGATCGAAATAGTGTCGTCATTGTACTTGACGGAAACCACACAGCAGTCATAGAGCTCCATAGCGTTACTTTCCGATCCCTTCAGCCATGCTGCAGCTGCCAACAGCGTATCACCTAGAATACCGGTAATGATGATACTTGATCTATTCTCGAAATCGGAAGGCAATGCCCGTCGGATATCTGATTTCACAACCACATTATAACTCTGTAGCTCCTCCGTGTACGAGTAGTTACCGCGTGGGTGAAAGGTGATCTGATACCTCGCCAAACCCATTACCAGGTGCCACAATTTCTTGCGTCCATCAATGGTCAGTTTGTCCAATGATTCCTTATTCGGCGGATGGCACCTGGGGTTATCCGCTCCCTTGGCGAAGTGGGAGAAGGCATGCCGCAATAGAACCCATACGACTTGAAACACAGTCCAGATACAGATGACGCTCTCCTTCTGCTTTTTCAGAAGGGAATAGCCGTAGGGCAGCGAGCAAGCGTACGCCAGTGCGCCAAGGCTCCATGCCACCTTCCACACGGTGCTGCGTCGAAAGTTCTGAGGGATGCCTAGATAGACCCTGCGGCCACCGAAGCCGGCTTTTCGGGCCGTCGGTAAGTCTCCCGCGATAATGTCCAGCACATGGCCGCGGCTCCGAGCGTCCTCGCAGTGCTCCCGGATTCTGCCTCTCCAGTGTAACACGACTGCATGAAGAAAGAAGACAGTGTAAGGCGCGATACTTGCAAGGCCAAGCCTCAGGGCATTGAGATAACACAAGACAACAAGCTCACTGAGCTTGGCCAGGGAGAAAGCTAGCCAAAAGAGCTCTTCCTTGGCTCTGGGCTCGTGCGAGCAACGAGTGTCAGAGAAGGAACACACTGTCAGAGCCTTGTCTTGCTTGCATTCCGGCACATCGCGTAAAAGACTTTCAGTGTACGCATCCAATGCGTAGACATCGCGTGGGCAGCGATCTCCAGCCTTTGATTCTGGATTAGCACCGGTAGCAACAGGCACCATGGTCAGTTTAGGGGACGTACTCCATAGACCATTGCCACGGCGGTTGGTCCCAGCTCCCGCCTAGCTGACGCATCGCCGATCGTCGAATCGAGGAGCAGTCTGAATCCGAGAGCCGAGTCGGTAGACTCATCTCTCAACTTGATAGATTGCCGGAGCCAGTCAGGAATTGCCGCTGCAGAACACGCCTTCAAGACTTGCAGGGATCCAAACACACTCATCCCCGCCCAGGCCAAGCCGCTAGGTCCTTTTGCCCCTAACACCAACGGCGTCGCGTTGGACGAACCGATGATGGTGGCAATAGGAGCAAACTCAACCCATGACTTGGCAAATACTGATCCTGGCATGTCGGCTATTATATACAAGCCCGTTGACAGATACTGTTTGGCAGCGAGAGTCAAGCTGCATCATAAAAAGACTCTAGGGAAGATTCTGTGAGTCAAAGCTCGATTATTTATAGAGAAAAGAATTCTTCGCAACAAAAGTAGGCTCAATAACTACTTTGGTGTAACTGTAGTGGTGACTTAGCGTTTACGCCATGATTTGATCTTTGATCTGCTGAAGGTGGCAAAGCTACGACGCGAAAATTTAGGCTTGGATCTTACTATGCTTAGCGACCAAAGATTGAAGCCGTGTTCTGCGCTTGGGAATATGCTCATCTGACCCGCGAGACACCTCGATGATAGGTCCCATGTATTCAATGTAGGTTTCTGTTGGATATTAGTAAGACCAGTTAAGATCGTCGCTCGCTATTAATAGCCCATATAAACATCAACTTATCTTAGACCGAGCCAATCCTTTCGATCTAGACAGATCTAGACACGATATCACGACCTAACTAGCAGACAAGGGCGATGGGAAAATATAAGTGCAGCTAGTCCAACACTTTGTTTTAGTATCCATGGTTTCAAGACTCTTTTTCCAAAGGTGCCTCCTCAACCTTAAGATGCCCACCGCAGGCGATCAAAGACTTTGCTAGCTTTGATCAGGACCCAGTAACTTTCATACACCATCCTAGCGAGACAATCTTGGTTGTCACCGTAGAATAGGGCAGTCCTTGGACTCATTTGTCGCCTTGTTAGTTGTGGGCATGTTGAGTTAATCTTGTGAGTCAAAAGGTCCGAAATAGTCGACAACGCCGCTCAAACAGCCCAAAAGTCCATAACTGACACGAGTAGCACTAGGAAGGTCTCGCTCCGCTTTTTGCAATAAGCGTTCCAAACCACGGCAAGCCGTGGGTTTCTTGATCCGTGATATATTAACCAAATTAGACACAGTATTAGCTGACTGTGCTGAGATCGCCAGGTCGAGATGGTGGGGTTTTGCTGGTCCAAATCTTCGTCATGACGCCATCCCGATAGGTCTCTAATAGAACCTCGACATATTATTCTGTTAGAAAATGGGGGTCTGTTGACATAGTTGTGCAATGGTACAAGGAGTTATACCATGAGGTTAAGATAAAATGTACAACATATTCTCTTGCAAAAAGGTTGTGAAATTTTTTAAAAGGATCTGTATAGGCGTTTCGGCCCCCTGGCTACTCGAGTTAGCATAAGCAAGATCAGCAAGCCAATGCTTCTTAGTTTGCTAGTCTGTTAAATATCTCCATATCGATTGGAATAAACCACTTGCGTATAAGATTTGATGTGTATCCTCAATTCGAATGCAGAATTTGTCGATGGAGTCTCTATTTGTAGGTTTAGTAGGGTTCTCTATTAACGGCTACGAAAGCAGCCTCTGCTCTTTTGTGAGCCAAAGCCTTCTTTCCAATTAGAAGTATTCTCTGGCCGCTCGGCCGCCAAAGTACGCAGTAGTCAAAGGAAATTCTTAGCGTTAGATATTTCCTTGTCAAGTTTCTCTTATAGAAGAAAGCTCAGGAATAAAAAAACATACAACAGAAGGGATTCGCTGGTGGTCACCCACCCAACTACTAACCTCCCGGCGTGTGGCTTAAGTACGGCTGAGCGGACGGGAAGCCCTGTTTTCCACACCCTGTGGTCGTATGTGCTAGATCTTTTGCAAAAGTTAATGATTGAGTATACGCAAAACAACATCCTCAACCGAAACCCTTGCTAGCAAATAGTGTCATTGCACAAAGAATTTGGTAAAGTGCTCCTAGACTATATGCGAGTACGACAAGCTATCATAGGCTTGCGTTCTTATTCTCTCTACTGTCTCTCATTTTCTAGGTTTCTGGTAGATTCAATTGTCTTTCCTCTTTCTTACAGTTCAAAGAATACTAAGCTAGACAACGGATGTATATTCCGGTAGTTATACTTCGGGGTAATAACTGTTGCGTCGAATCTCGCTCGACGCCACTCCCCGCCACCCCCAAAACCAGAGGGACCTGCCGAACTTACCCAATCCCTACATCCTCTCCCTCAAACAAAAGCGAGGTCTTGCTTTCTCCTCATTTATGAGAGTAATCTGAGCTCGGTATACTCTTAGGAGATACAGACAAGCTGAACACATGTGAATAAGTACTAGAGTCAGTGGCGGGGTAAGTATGAATTAGGGCTAGACTAGCAGAAACGAAGATGAGAGTCTCAACCTCTCTTTCTGGAATACCACGGGTGACGGCTGACAATGAGCACTATAGGCTGAACAAGGATCCGGAGGAAACCCGACGTTTGTTGTCAATGTCAAGGATTCGATATACTTAATTTTGCTTGTTGTTGGGTAGACAGTCTTGCGTATACTTGCGTATACTCTCTAGTGCTGTCGAGAGAGACTTGCTGATAAAACCGTTATCTCCTCTAATCTCCTCGGAAGGAGCATCGCTTTAATTTCAACATCAGCACCATTAAATCCTTGGCCCTAACTTACCTACTGACCTTGCCCCCAGATGGGATAAATTACGAAGACCTCAGGGATCCTCATCAAAAATGCGGAAGAAAGCCTGAACATCCTCCTCGAACTCCGCCCATACTTCGCCATCAGACGTCATGGGATATACCCATCGACCTTGATACACAAACTGCTGCGGCTCGTAGTCCAGCTCCGGGAACTCGGTGAACATCCGAAAGCTGTTTTGCGAGGAGATGAGGACCCCACCCATCCTTTTCCAGTAAAGATGCGGGTGCGCCTGTCGTTGGTGCCACCATTGCCTTCGGAGGATTTCCATCGCGGGGAGCCAGTCGTCGGTGGTGTTTTTCCAGCACTTGAGGATTACGACCAAGACCCTTTGGTCGTTGCGCTGGAGGGGATAGACCTCTATGTTGTCGCACGGGGTGGAGAAACTGTATGACAACGGGAAGCTTGCCATTTTCAAGGTGAAGATGGCTTACTTGGGGACTTAAGGTGTCAGATAGAAGAAGGGCCTGGTGTGAGTCGACAGCTTCGTATTAGCCATATTTAAAGTCCTGCGTTCCGAGTGTGGAAGTTTCTTTGTTCTGTGGTTCAAAGGACTTGTGCCCCAGGAGGAAAGTAATATTTCATAAAGCATCAGACAAGGGTCTTAGATAGGGGCTTTCGTATGAGTGCAGTACAGTATAAAATGGATAAGTTGCAACTATTAGGGTGTCATAAAGCGGCTGACTTATCAGAACTGATTTTGTATTAGTGCCCTAAGCTTTTCTCTTATCTCGATTACCGAGTGTCATTATATTTTGAGATAGACCAAGGGAAAGGAGGATACGAGGGAAAGGTCGAATTCGTCTGATTTGAATGAATGGACTTTTGTTTGAGTTAGAACTTTGTGCTTGACGCGATCCTGCTATGGATCTAGACATCTGCGAGATCAAAGTTAATTAGACGCCAGGGGTTCAACATGCAGGCATGTTTCACGTGCAGCGCGTCCATTGAGGAATGATGGCGGTTGGATCGCACACCAACCGTCAGCATTCTTGCGCTTTGCCCCACGCTGAAACTCACAAACTGTTTCCGTTCCGACATGTGCTTGTTCCTCGGGACTGTAAACAAAGGATTTATCTCGCCCAGCATCCTTCTTGATTGGCGCCTTCCGCACGATGAAAGAAATTTTTACAACCACGGACGCTGCCATATAACCTCAGAATGCATATATTCAGGATAGGCCTCATCGTATCTAGAACCGGGCAAATGCGTCAACCCCTTCTCTACTCATTCACAATCTAATCTCTGATATATTTTCACTCGCTTTCCATCCTTCTACTTTCTGGTGTCTTGGGACCGGACCAAGTGCCATCTTTCCTTTTGCCGTTTTTGACTCACCATGAATTAACAATAGAACAAAGAAAGCAAGATTTTCACGACAAAAAAGCGCCATTAGCCCTTTCCAAAATGCTTCTAGCTCTGACGCTGGCACTAGTGCCAATCGCTCAGGCCGCGAATCGTGCAGTATTTGCGCATTACATGGCAAGTATATCATTCTCCGCAGCCAGCAGTGAGTAAGCCCTAATTCACCTAATCAGGTCGGCACCACCACAAAGGACCATATCCAGCAAGATGTCGACGACGCGATCGCGATGGGTCTCGATGGCTTCGCCTTGAATGTTCAATGTCCGACCGATGCGTTCGCCAAGGACCTAATCCTGGAGATGGGGCGCTACATCGAGGCGCAGGAGCTCCAATTCGGGATCTTTATCAGTATGGATGTGTACGCCTCGGGAGGGGCATCGTGCGGCAGCGCAGGCGCTGCCGACTACGTTTCCCTGTGTCAAGAGGCGATGGCACTCGAGGCGTACTACCAGGTTGACGGCAAGTATGTGGTCAGCACCTTCACCTCAGGTGGGGGCACGTGGGAGACGTGGAATCATTTCAAGGCCTCATTGTCCGACCTGGGGTTCGAGGTGTATTGGATCCCGGATCTCGACGACACGGAGGGCTACTGGGACAGTCAAGCGGGCTGGTGGGATGCATGGGGCAATCTCACTGATGGCCTCTTCAGTTGGGAATCTGCCTGGCCAAGTCTGGGACAACAGGCTTCGAAGCAGACTGGTGGGCTGGGAGGGATTGCCCGGGATCAAGTGGTCATTGACGCGGCTGCTAGACAGGGTGCATCCTATATGATACGCTTGTCTTCCTGTGTATCTTTCTGGTCTGAGCTTTTCACTGATGACTGTCAACAGCATTGAGTTTGATGCAGTATAAGAATTCAGTATGAGCAGCTTTCACAATGCTCCCAATGAAAATTTCGAGACTGACTAGGACTGAGCAGTATGGAACAAATATCTATCGCCAAGGTGGAGAGAACCTCATGCAACGCCTGAGCAACATCTTGAACATCCAGAGTAACACGTTGCAGTTCGTTGAATACATTACTTGGGTAAGAGTCATCTGTACCAGATTTGGATGATAAAATATAATGCAGAGCTAATCCAAATAGAACGATGGTCCCGAGGGACACTATCTTGGGAATCTGTGGCCGGAACAGAATGACGATGCTGCGCTGAACAACTACGCCAACATGACGATCTGGCCTCATACAGGCCTGCAGCCGCTCATCCACTCGTTTGCGACCGCTTTCAGGGCGTTTCGGGGCCCATCGGAAATGAGACCTCAGAATGGGAATGAGGCAGCCGGCGCCATCTGGTACCAGACGCCGGCCTTCGATATACCGTGCCCTTTTGAGGACATCGGGGAGCCTACTGCCACCTTCTGGAGCAAACCTGCAGGGTACGAGACATTTTCCAACACGACCCAGTGGGCGGTTGTTCTCAATGAGACGGTCGGAGGTTATAACCCCAGCGAACTGGCGCTCTTCATCGCCACTGGTGATGGTGTTCGGGTGGTGGCCAGCAACTTGACTGCCGGCCTGAATTTCGCTCAGGGCCCGGATGTGCATGGCGGGAGCGATGTTACCATGGTGTTAGCTCCTATTTCCGGTGGCGACATCCTTTACCATGCCTCAGGAGGTAAATGCCCTGATTCATATTGTAGGGATGGATTCTACAACCTGAACTATCAGGTCTTGCCACTGGTACCGGGGCATACGACAACCGGTTGTACCTATGAGACCTCTGCTCTGCGATACATCCCTTGGAACAGCGCGAATGCGGCGGTTGGTTGTCAGCAGTTGCTGTTGAATGCATCAGCCACGGACTCCTGGTATCTTAGTCAAGCTGGGCTGGCCTTGGAATTCGAGACGACTCGTCATTCTTTGTCAACTCGCCGTGCTCTGACAAGCACACTCCCGAGCCTCGATGCCCACTTTAACGCTTTCGATGGGGTCAATGTCACGAATTGTGCAAATCTTAGCGATAACAGCTCCTGCTCCATACCTGAAACCTGCCCCTTGGGTACTGACCATGTGCCATATTTCTTTGCTCAGCGCTCTTTCGCAATTTTCCAGCGGTGCCTGCGGGACATGGCTTCAGAGGTGTTTGGAGAAAATCTCATATCCGCTCTGGAAATTGACAATCTGGTCAACAGCATAACTCGGTATCTGACACTGCATAATGACGAGGCCGGTTTGGACAGGGTCAAAGGTGCCGTAGCTGCGGGACTTACTGTTGTCAGAAGCGGGCTCGGTCCAATCGACAACTTCGCCAGCTCCTTCGCAACACTGCTCGGCGGGATCTTCAGCACTATATCCGCTGTTGATACTCCCACTGACCCTACAAACAGCAGTGTCTTTCTTTCCGATCCTGGCAATGTGTTGAGAACTCGTTTCTTCGCCGGGGTCCAGGGATACAACAACAGCCTCTTCCAGCTCGCCCATGCCGTCTTCGCTACCGGCAATCTCTCCTCCTTCCCAGGCTATGCACTTGACACCTCCAATGATCGGTTCGGAGCCTACTACACTACCCGGCTACCCAAAGTCTTTGCCGGGGGCCGCTTCTCCGACCCCAACATGGCCTGCAGTAATCTCGCCGACGAGCTCATCCTGCCTATCCAGCAGGTCCTGCTCAGTCTTCTACTCGCCAGCGCCAATGTGTACATCGTTCAGAATGGTCACCGAGTCGAGGAGTGCGCTTCAATGTGGGGCGGAGTGGTGCTGGACCTGGACTCTGACGACCCCGTGTGCTACACGCTTGAAACTCCCGGATCCGGGGCAAGCAACACGGACATCTCCATCCCGCTCAGCGGCAACGTCTCGGACCTGATATATAGCACTTATAAGATCAACCAGACTGCTCTGGTCAGGAGCTCCCTGCAGTGCCAGTCAACAAAGAACCGCTATCATGCAGCTTACATCCCTCTCCCGACAGTCATTCCGGGATGCGGATACTCGACCTCCTCCCTCCCGTCGTGTTTCTTCAACCTGCCCGTCCTATACACCAACTATACTGCAAGTATGAATAGTTCGGATGAGGGGATATCGGGCACTCCCTGCCAGGTGCGGGGCGGTACCCCAGCAGACGGGTTGGGTCACTATCTTCCCTCGAATTTGGCTGCCGTTTTCACCGGCGAGTTCTGTACCTGTGTGTCCACGGCATCAGAGTCATTATCTTGATTAGCAGTGACCCAATGCTGGCAACATAAGCGCGCATAGCCAGAACGGAATCCGGCTTCGAGGAATGCAAGAACGCAGTGTGTCTTATAGTCTATCGGCAGCAACAACTCGCAAAGGGCCGTATTGGCCTGGAGTCAACTTTTATAATGATAGTCATGTTGCCGAGGGGAGATGAATAGAAAGAGCGGGGAAGGGGCGGAGGGCGAGGCTCAGGGGCGAGAGAACTGCTACGCTCGCCTACCCCTTCAACTACTTCGAGGCGACAAGCATTGAGCATTCTCTCGCCGTCATCGCGATTGCTAGACGTAGGTCAAGACTCCGCTCTTGGCTTCTATGGTGTATTCCTCAATATTGTAGCTTTCTCGAACCTTGGAGGGCACTGAGCATTCCGACTCGGTGAATGGTCTGCGTTGGCAGACTTTCGCTCTTTCGCCTTTTGTCCGGTTCATCTAATGGAAAGCTGACAACATCAGATTCTTGAATCACCTTAATGTGCATCATGGTCCTTGTTAAATGGGGCTTGGCGAACATTTCGAAAGCGTTCTCTTCAGATTGATCACCGCAGTGACCCAGTTGACAATGACTTGTACATTGGTTGGCGGAGTGGTTGTAGACAGGTGATCAGGATGTGAAAGAGATGACAACTAGGAAGAATATGAGAATATAAGGCCAGGAAGAGAGCTGTAAAGTGCCAGGAAGATAAACAGGAGGTCGGCAAGATAGTAAGTAGCAGGAGATAAAGAAGTGAAAAGCCGACTGTCGAAGAACACGAGAGATGGGTGCCTGAGGTTGGGAACCACCGTGACAAACACAACATACACACCACTCTGGCGTGACCAGAACGCAAGTGAATGACAGCAACCAAGGTCCTGTCTCCTGACAGGTTTCCCACATCAACTCCCCTGTTATCTCTTTACAAATCATCACCTTCTTCCACCTTTCACTCTCTCGTTTCCGACTCCCTTACTTTTTTCTGATCTGACCAACTACACCTCGATATCCGTCAAGATGGCCCTCAAACGTAAAGAGTCTATTGACCACATGGACACAGTCAACGACCTCGTTTACAAGAAAGCTAAGATGGGAGAGTACACCGACTTTGCCCTGGAGTGTGATGGTGTCAAAATCCCTGTCCATAAAGTGCTTGTTTGTTCTCAGATAAAGGCACTCGCAGCTGCCTGCGCTGGAGGCTTCAAGGTCCAATTTAACCCGCCCAATTAGACCGATCTACAACGAAAAGCTAACTCTAACAAGGAGGGTTGTTCCGGCGTTTATCGAATTGACGAGTTCCCATTATCCTCGATCCGCCATCTGGTACAGTTTCTCTACACCGGAGACTATGACCTTCCAAACGACGCCGGTATGTTCTCACAAGGTTAACTGTGACTTCCTTGCTGAGAATCAGGCTAATTGCAAATGTTTGTGTGGCAGACAAGTCTCCCTTGGACCCGAACCTCGTGCTGCCTCCCTCTCTTTCCCCCTCCCCCTCCTCCTCTTCCTCTTCCTCTTCCTCTTCCTCCTCCTCCTCCTCCGCCACCGCTACTACTGCTGCTATTACTACCGCTGCCGTCACCGCGGATCTCTCGAAGAACCTTGTTGCACACATCCATATGGCCGAGATCGCGGATTACTTCAACGTGCCGGGACTCAAAGAACTCGTTCACAAGAAGGTTGACGAGACGCTGCAACTGCCGTGGTCCCCGGAGGGCTTCGTCGATGCGGTGACGATGGCTTTCAAGATTGGCGATGATGGCGTACTGCGCGACAAGCTTGCAGCGACTGTCGCCGACCACCTCGACGATTTTCTAGGGACTGACAGTCGCATGAATCTCTTCACGCACGATGCGTCCTTCCGAGTCCTGCGACGCTTGAACGAACAACTTAAAGAGTCGGAGAGACGGACAAAGGGATGGCAGATACAAACCAAGAAGTTGCTTGAGCTACAAACACGCCTCGCACAGCAATTGCGAAGCGAGCGTGAGTTAAGCAATGGGTATCATTGTGTCGTGACCCATTACCAATCCGGTTTTAATGTCGAAATCACCAGCACTTGCCTGAAGTGTCGGGCTGTTACAACCAAAAACTACCATCCTGGCGGTTTCAACATTACGTGTAATTGCCGTGCCGCATTGAATCAATGATCGACGGTCCCAGTATTCTCAGGTAGAATGACAGTCTGGAAAATAAGGCTGCTACTCTATAATTGTGGACATGTTGCTTGATAACAGCTGGCGAGCCTACAGGGCTGTATTCGAATGGTAAAGGGGTTTCGGACATTCATAAATTGCTGGTGTATTTTGGGGAAGGATATCTGGATTATAGTGGGCAGCCGAACACAACCAAATGAAACAACATTTCTGCTGCGTGCAATCTTGACTATTATGATTTCCGATGTCGTTAAAGACGGATTTGTACATCAGTGAAGTGGAGGTTTTTCTTTACTGATTCATAAAGCGTCTTCGGTAACGTAATCGTCAGCCGAGCGAGCCACGCAAGCGAGCGAGCCAGCAGATCCACCAAATACAGCACCAACATGGATTCTTAATTTATATACAAATATATGGTGTTTTAAAGCCTTAATTATACTATTTTAAACATCTTTTTATACAGTTCTTCGGTTTGGACATCTTATATATATATGTCCTTAAACACCGTACTCGCTGCACCTGGAAGATGCCCGGCGGCGAGGCTGATTCTGATTCTTAATCTGAAGGGCTTTATTCTTTTTATACTTATATTAGAATGCTTCTCTTACTTCGTTAATAGTAAGACTATTAAGGCCTGTAAGCTGCTTATTTCTTCGTTGTTTCTTAGTATTTAATCTTTTATTCGCCCAGCGGAGTTCTCGAACTTTCTATTCTAATAAAACCGCCCGGTTTAACGCCATCTCAGCACCTTTAAAGACGTAGCCTAAGGCTGACTTTATTGGTATATTAGTTATACTATTAAGCAGTTATTCAAGTCTTGTCTCTTACTATAAGGGCTGGAGGTGAAATAGCGTGAAGAACAAATGACTCTCGCGAGTCTAAAGATGCCATTGTATTATCTTAAGATGTTATTACTAATCTTTTTAAGTCGCGAGATACTACTTCTAATTAAAAGATTACAATCGGCTTACTTAATTATTATATAACTGATATTTAAGGTTATATATATATAGCTTTCTTTTTATAATATCTATAAAAATTAGAAGAACTAGTCTAGTTTTTATAACTATTTTTTTTTTTTACAGAAAATAGATTATTTTTTATAATAATACTATTAAAACCTCTTTTTTGTAAACCGCTTTGCAGAAAATTAAAATAATAGAAAAAATAGTTTTTACTATTTTTATTTTTATAATAAAGTATTAGATTATCTATCTAATATTCCCGCGGTAGTTAATTTTAATATATAATCTATTATTTACTAAACTATTTTTTACAGTAATATTTAAATAATTTTTTTATAAAATATTTAGATAGTTTTTTATAATAATAATAGTTTTTTTTTAATAAATATAAATAGTTTTTTTAATAAATATAAACGGCTTTTTTATAATTAAAATAATAAATAATATTAAATCTTTTTTAATTTATTCTTTTAGACCGCCTAAAATATTTTATAGTTAAGACTAGTAAAGCTATTCTCGCAGAAATAAGATCTTTTTTTATATAAAAAAACTTTTTTTTTAAATCTCCAGCTTTTTTTTTTTTATAATATTCTCTTTTTTTTTTTTTTTTTTTTTCTCTCTTAGTAAGTTTCTTGCGTGGTATTTCTTTTAAATATTATTATAAATTAATATTTATTAATTTTTTTTTATAGCAGCTATTAATATATCTTATTAGTTTTTTTTACAGCTTAATTTTTATAAGAACTTAGTTCTATCTTTCTTTTTTTATAAAAGTCTAACTAATTTTTTTTTATAATCTATTATTTAAGCTTTATATCCGCGGGTTTTATTAATCTATTTTATTTTATTTTTTTTATATAAATTATCTACAGAACAGGTTCGGACTTAACTAATTATTTATAGTATTTTTTATTATTTTTTTTATTATAAAAAAGAATATCTTTACTACTATTACTACTATTAGATTTATTACTATTATTATTATAAATATATCTATTTTTATTATATTTACTATTATTATATCTATTATTATTATACCTATCCTCGCTGTATCTGCTGCTGTTATTACTATTATTTTTTTTTTATATTACTATTTATATTTATAGAATATAAATTTAGCAGTTAATTATAATTAATATTATTATAGCTTTTATAATTTTTATTTTTATAATTTCTAGACTTTTTTTGTTTTTAGTAGATATATCTAGAATTATTTAAAACTAATCTATATTCTATAAATAGATTAATAATAATAAATAAAATATTTTATAATTTATTAAGCTGTTTATTATAATCTAATTTTTAAATTATAATATAATAGTATCTACTATAATACTAGATCTTTTTTTTAAATAAAATTATAGTTTTTATTTAATTATAAGCAGGCTTAAATTTATAAATCTATTATATAATTTATACTATATATTAAATAATTAGATCTAAAACAGCTGGCTGTTTAAGTTTAGTTTTATAAAAATATTTTTATATTATAAATTAGCTGGCAGCTGCTGTCTGATTAGATATATAAATATTATTATAATTTTTTTTCTAGAAGAGTCTTTTATAATTATATTAATAAAAAGATTAGCTAGTAGTATAATAATTATTTATATATAAATAATAAATATTATTTTTTTATAAAATAAAATTATATTTCTATATATTCCGGTTGTTATATATTATAAATATATATTATAATTTATATTAGAATTATAAAATATATAATTACAGATAATTTATAGTTTATATTTAATCTGGTTTTTTTTAGTTTTTAATCAAATTTTTTATATTTCTGTAAGATAAATTTCTTATAAATTTATAAATAATATAAATTTATAATAGATTTTTAAGTATTTTTTTTATTACAGTATTCTTTTTATTTAACCAGTATTTTAGTAGTTTTTTTATAATATTATAAATCTAGCAGTATTTTTAGATAATATTTATAATTATTTAAATTTTTATTTTTTTATAAAAAATATTTTTATAAATTTATTTTTTTTATTATATAATACTTGCGGAGTAGAAATATATAAAAAATATTATAAATCTAAAGATCTATAAATAGCTTTAATTTATAAACTTATTTATTTATTTTTTTAATTATACAGAATAGTTTATAATAATATTAATCTAATTTTTTATTTAGTTTTTTTTATAATAAGTTTTTTATAGATAATTAAATCTTCTGATTTATTATAAAAATAGTAGTTTTATAATTTCTATTATAAAAGTTTTTCTAATATTTATAAATAAATTTAAGATTTATAATTATTTTCTTTTTTATTTTTTTAATTTTTTAAAGATATTATTTTAATTTTTTTATAGGATTTTCTAGTATTTATAAGTCTAGTGCTATTATTTACAGATATTATATAATTATTATAAAAAATAAAAAGTATTTAGTTAATACTTATAAAGAATTATTATAAATAAATTTTATAAATAATAATATTTTTATTTAATTATCTTACTTAAAATTAATATAATTTTATAGATATTATTTTAATATATTATTTATTTTTTTTATTTAACTATTTATTTACGGGTAATAGATTATATTTAAATCTTATTTAATTATAAAAATATAAATAAAGTCTAATTAAAAGTTTTTTATAAAAATTAGTTTATAATTTATAATTACTTTACCAAATATTTTATATAATCGGAAAATTTTTTTAAAAAGATTATTACAAGTTCTTCTTTTAATAATATTTTATAAATAAAAATAAAGTAAGCTATTTTACTAAACTAATCTACTATAATTATAATATTATTATAAATCTTTTATAAGTTTTTATTTTTATAAATATTTATAGATAAACTTATAATAAAATCTATAATTACTTTTTTTAGAATTTTATAATAAATAATAATAGTTCTAATAGATTTTATTATTTTTTATAAATTATCTATCTACTCTAATATATTTTATATATATAATAGTAGTCTTATATAAATTTAGCTAGTTTTAGCTATTAAAATTTTTATAAAACTAGTTTTTAGATTCTTATTCTTATAAAGTATTTTATAATAAGATTATTATATAATTTTATAAGGATTTTTAGTTTTAGCTAGTAGTTGTCCGGAATATATAATTTTTCTATAAAGTAGAATAGTTTCTAATTAATATTTTATTATAAATAATTCTTTTTTTATAAATATTTTTTTTTATAAAAAAAGCTGCTTCTATAATTTTTTTTTATTTTATTTTAAATATTTTTTTATAAGATTATTTTTCTGTAACAGCTGGAGTAGTTTTTATATAAGATTAGTAAATAGATTTTTACAGTATATATTTTTTTTTATAATTATTTTTATTATTTTTATATAAAATTCCAGCTAGTTTAGATTTTTTATAATATTTTTTATTAGTAATATTCTAATTCTTATAAAAATAGCTGTACTTTTTTCTAGATTTAAAAAATTATTTAGCTACTGTAGTATTATTTTTTTAAGTTTTTTATAGTTTTTTTTTATAATTTTTTTTTTATAGTTAGATTATTATAATAAAACGTCTGCTGGGTTCTATAATTCCGGTTTATATATTAAAAAAAACTTAAATATTATAAGATATTATATCTATTTAATCTGTTTTTATAATAATTTTTTATTAGTTATAAAATATTAGAAACTTTTATAGTTAATAACTATTTTTATTAAATATTCTATATTCTTAAGCTAGTATTACTATTTTTTAAATAATTTTATAATTATAAAAAGCTTTTAATTATAAATATTATAATTCTATTCTATAGAAATTATCTTCCGCGAGTAAAATACTACTAGTTTTTATTAATTTTTTTAATTTTTTTATAATAGTATTCTACTAATTATAAAAACTAATATATTAGTTTTAATTTATAAGAATTTTTTTTTAAAATATACTATAATTATATTTTCTATAAATATATTTTTTAGTTTTTAAAAACTCTTGCAGGCTTTTAATATTAGAAAATTATATTTAGTTTTTTTTTCTTTTTTTTATAAAATATTTTAGTTAGATTTATAATTAGTATTATAATTTATAAATATTTTTTAATAAATTATCTATACTAATTTGCAAATCTAATAAATTTTAGTATATTTTTTATATTCTACAGCTTAAACTAATTATAGATTATTATAATATATTCCGGTTTTATATATATACTCTTACAGCTGATTAAAAATCCTAAAAAATTAATTTTTATTACCGCAAAATAATACTTATTAAATTTTATATATAATTCTGTATTTTATAATATTCTTAATATTTTAAAGATCTATATTTTATATATTTTTAGATTATATAAATATATTATAGTATTATTTAAATAAATAATTATAAAATTGTCCAGATATTCTGCGAATAGAAAA